GTGTGAAAACTACTAATCCGAATCATGGCTTCGACTGATTGTTGACAGAACTCAGACAATCCCAATGAATCTTCGATACATCCACGATCTAGAAACCTAACTTGGCGCCAAAATAACCAACAAGGGACCCCAAAAATCAAGTTAAGGATTAGGATGGCAAAAGAAGCTTTAGGCAGACTGATCAAGATGTGGAAAAATATCGGGAAAATGATCAAGATGATATTTCTGAAAGCATTCTGCATAGCACCCTATGGCAGAAGCGTTTGGAGTGATCTGCTATGGCGGCATGTTGAGGATTCCTTGGACGGCCCGCAGGACAAATATTTCCAGGAACTTAATATTCGAGATCATAAAGGGCTATTTAGTGAAGCTTACTTAAATATTTCGGACACCTGATACGGAAGGAGTATCTCAAAAGAAGCAAGTATTTAAATATGAACAGTCTTCGAGATATATAAGTTCGTGTGATACTAATAACAATGGTGGTGGTAGAGAACCAATGGAAGATAAGAAAATAAACAAATACAGTTTAGTAACATATTTTTCGCAGTTCAGAAAGTAAATATTATACAACGATAAGCAGAATGCCTTCCGTTTTTTTTTCCCTAAAACTGACGCATTAAAGTTGTTTCATTATTCAACTCCTGAGCACCATTTTAGGTTGCATGCAAATGATATGATAATTTGTTATTAAAAATACATACCTAGGGGGCGGCGGAGTGATAAGCGAACTGGACGGGGTCATGCAACTAAAGTACCCAAAAAATAAACATTTTGTATGTATGAAAATTGATAAACAAACCTATTTATTGAAAAAGAAGATGACAACAGGATACGATACGTCATGATCGTTCTGTCGCCAAATTTCTGGTTTTCTCCAAGGCGTTTCGATAATAACATTATCAAATTCCTTGGAAAATTTGTGCGTTTAATTGAAGTAAAATTGGTGCCTTGTTAGTTTTGATTAGTCTTCTTTACGTCTTTTTTCTTCTTAAAATTTTCTTCAAGATTGAACCTATCTAAACGTTCTATAATTTTTTTTTTTGAAAAATTGATTGCAATAGTTGTCACTGACTGATTATTACGTAATAACATTTTTCTATAGTGCTTCTACCAAACTTTGCAAATCTTCTAGTTGTGCAATCTGCCACTCTATAATTGCTCTATTCTAAGCAAGTCTTTGATGTTGCGTGGTGTGGTTTTTCTTCCAAGAACCTCTTTAATTTAGAGTATTCCGCTGCAAGCCATAGGATCTATTGGAACTCGTTCCATAGTTTATAGAGCCTTATCTTTGTTCGCCTCTTTGATTACTCTTCAAAGTTTCGGTTGGTGTAACTGATTGCCTCTAGTTTCGTTACGCCCACCAGAATCTGCATCCAGTATTTGCTCCTATTATTCATACACAGATTTCTGGATTTCGTTACCTTTGTGCCCATACTCTCGTGCCTATAACACTGGTCGGCAAAAAAATTTTTTTTTCTCTCCTTCTTGTTTTCATGCATGAATTCATCTTATTTTATGCTCTAAACACGGAATCTGACATACAAATAAGTACCACACGTAGGTTTTTAATTTAATATTTATTTCATCAAAAAAACAATATTATTAAAGTATAAATTATTATAAGGAAATAAAAAAATTATAATAAAAAAACTAAATTATATTAACAAAACTCGATTGAAATTGTAGACCTGAAATATTTTTATTTTCAGCCTGCTCATTAACTGGTGGAACTGGAGGTGGAGTGTCTTTATCACGAGGAATCGGCCTCTTTGCAGATAGGACGTTCGGATAAACAATCTTATCTCTATTTTTTTTAGTGTAGATGTCATGCAGAAATAACAATCATCCTCATGATTTTGAGGCTCACTCCAAATCATTGGCATTGAAAACGGCATGGATTTGTGACTTTCTTCAAGCCAACCTCTCAACGTTCTTGAACAGCTTTTATCTCGCTCATCGATAGAAAATCCAAAATATAGCTTATAAGCTGTTTTAACCAGATCGGTCATGACATGTCGCTGTGTTTTTAGTATGTATTCCCCACAAATGTAGCAAAAACAGTCTGAGGAAATTTTACAAGTCCGTGGCATTATGTAACCTAAAATCACATAAAATTAATTTTAAATTCCAAATTTCCATCCTGAGTTCCCACACATAGATATTTTGTCTTTGCTATGTTGACTATCAAGCCCCATTCTTTATACTCCTCTATAATATTAATGTTTGGCTATTTTTTCAGTCTTCTCTGGTCGAGATTTGATTCGTGTAATGTTTAACAAAACAGTGCTGTCCATAATGAGCCTTAGGATTTGGTTTGCACTTATTTCCCTTGTCACGATTGCGGTAATCTACGTCCAATAAATCTTGCTTTTAGGTTGCCTGTTTGACGATAGCAATCGGACGTAACTTTGTGGGTGCAGTATCATTCAAATGACCCTTTGTCCTTTCCCGCTTTCGTTATGACACCCCGTAGAATGTGTTGCACGCGGATGCGTCGTACCATATCGCTCACGCTCAAAAAAAATCATATCTACGGGGTTATTTTGATTTCGATTTCGATTACGAGTGTTTACACTACACACGCAATAACATTAATGGAAATATTTTAGGTAAGATACTACGTTTATTCCAATAATATACGGAATATCTAAAAATAAATTTTTGTCGCCATAACTGAAGAGGATGAAGCAACTTTTGTTTTCTCTTGACTTCATCATACTAAACTGTCGAAAAAAACAAAATCTTGAAAATTGTTGTTTTTTTTTTAATTTTTTATACGAAAATAACCCGGAAGAAATGTCGATAGCCATTTTTATTTGCTTAAAAACACCACTGGCGTAAAACACAATAATTTTGGTGATGACTTTTCTGGATACAACTGGACTTGTTTTTTTCCTAACCTAACCTAATGGAAAAATGGAGTTGGACAGACTAATCCCAAAATACTCATTTCGAAATAATTGAAAACTTAAAAACCCGTTTTTTAGCTATTAATTAGGTACTTTGAACAACCAAAAGCAAATAGAGTTTCTTTTTTACATACTTTTTATACATAGGTACTATATATTAAGACCATTAGCTCAAAATATGAAAATTTGGGGCTTGATCCGTTATTGAATTGAACACCTCATGCTTCAGTTCAGTATCAGTAGCACCTATAAACCTATACCTATATATACCTATATTTTTGCCTCCAAACATCGACCACAATTAAAACTAAAATCCTATTTCGGAACGCGTTCATAAAATCTGAATTTTCTTTGCACTGCTGCATCGAGCATCGAAATGTTGGATAAATATTTTTTTGGAGAATGAAGAAACCAACGTCAAGCCTCCCTTAAAAACTGATTTAGAAAACAAAAATGTATATTGTCGCTTTTATAGAAATTTAACCCTAGTTTTCAAACAGATAAAATCCAAATTTTTCACAGAAACTTCCACAGCCTACTGTAATAATTTTTATTAAACTTTTAGATTCCTCCTGCGTCGGTTTTTGTTGCTGAAACGCTGACCATCATTTCAGATATATTAAAATCCGTTAATCTGGAACCAAACCTTCTCACATTAATTGAAAAATGCTTGCCTGACACATATTTTTCTTATAACGGTTAAATTTTTGAGCAAACGTCGGGAACAGCTATGGGTTCTTCACTATCACCAGTCATCGCGAATATATTTATGGAAGAAAGCCCTCGACAACTTCCATCTAAAACCAAGAATCCCTAGTAGATTTTCTTAGACATTTAACCTCTATACACCCTGGCATATGTTTTAGCATTGAATTAGAAACTAATAAAAACCTCCCGTTCTTAGATATTCATATGAATAAAAAATTAGACCTAACATTAACAGAAAACCTTCGCACACAGACCGATACTTTAATGCATTGTCTCATCACCATCCGGCCCAAAAATCATCGGTTATCAACTCTCTTGTTTACAGAGTCGTAAAACTATCTCAGCCTGAGTCACTGAACACCTGACCTCTGCTCTTCTCTTTAATAATATTAAGCGTTCCATCACAAAATACACTTCACCACAACCTTCCAATAGCAATGAAGCCGAAAGCAATCCCACACTTTCCACTGTTGTCCTTGCTTACATTCAAAACCTCACTGAACAACACACATCAAAAGTTCTAAAGAAATGTAACGTCAAAATCAGATTTACCGATCCTCTCAACATCTTTGATCAGTCAATGATAAAATTCCATTTGAGGTGCCAGGAGTTTACAGCATAAGACAAATAAAATCATCGTTGCCGAACACAGTCACGAAGCCGGACATAAAATTTTATTTTTTATTATTATTCTTCTACCGACAAAAAAGCCGAGAGTCTATAGAAATCTACAAGCAACCTAACAATATTGACCGCGACTCAGGTCTTTAGCTGTCAGCAATATGGGAGTCAGTCATCCGAGGCTATGTTTATGCTCCGCCCACCTCAAACAATATAAAAGTTTCAGTCAAGCTCTGAAGAAGCCAACAGGATGATTGTCGAAACGTTAGCCAGTTCCCCTCGACAAAAACCGACGCAGGAGGAATCCAGCAGTTTTATAAAAAGCAAACAAAGTCTTGTTAAAAATATTACCACACCCCCGCAAGCCTAAACTTTGTTTGAACACCATTTTATACTACATTAGCCGGAGATGATGAGATGAAGTGGTTTTAAAAAACGATCGAGGGCAACACATTTTCCAGATTTGTTTTGGTGAATTTCAGCCACAGCTGCTCTTACTGACAGATTTTATTCGATTAAAAACAAAAAATTAATTAAAAAAAAATATACCATATTATTTTTACTATAAATAAATAAATAATTCTTAAAATTCTATATTTTATATGGAAAAAGTTGGCAACCCTGATCGTGCCGCCCTGTACACTTTGAAACAGCGGAATCCGTGCGCGATTATACCTCGAATTTGCGTCGATCGAAATTGAACGTGTGCAGTTTCCGGCAGACCGGTCATTATTTATATTTTTTTTTCCTATCAAATTATAATTCCGGGTAATTTTACCGAGAACGTTTCGGGATCGCTAGCGAACGAGTCGTTTTCGAAAAATGAGTCGGTGAAAAAAAAATAACGCGCCTCTAGTCTCGAGAGGGATTCGCACCATATTTTCTCGAGTACTATAGATAAGGTATCCGTTTATAAGTCGTAACGGAGCGCGTCGCAACGCTAGGGTCGCGGTCGCTTCCGTGTTGAAAAACGTTCGTCGTCTCTGCATTTCTATCGAAAATGCTGCCCGATCTCAACAGGTACACGGTAAGTTGAATTTCTTCCGTTCCGACCGTTCGGAATACTAAGGAAAAAGTGAGACGACGTCAATCGACGAACCTATTCATTACACATGGCGTAAAGTGTACGATATCTCACCGGGTGATTTCTCAGGTATTTTTAAGGTAAAATGCATTGTTTTTTGCAAAATTTAATAAAAAACGCCGATATCCGGATCCGTTTTTTTTTTGTTTTAATTAAGCTGTTACTTGTAGTGGACTCCACCCACATGCCTTTTTTCATCTTTTTCATCTTCAACGGCTTTGTGTACGACCTCGTACGTCTTATATTTTGGTTACAAAAAATAATTCCCCAATCATTTTTACGTGGAAAAGACTTATTAAAAGTCCCTGAAAAATGCTTCACAATCACCCTGTGAATTATCGATTACTCGAGATTTTTTATAAATATTTATTATATTTATATTTATTTTTATAATATTTATTTATTTATTTTTAAATATTTATTATTTGCCTGAAGTTTGGTACAGTTATCAAGTTCAGTGTCATCCCCGAGGGCTGGCTCAATGTTATTCCAAAGAGAAATGTACGCCGCTGACTTCTTGCAAATATTGATTTTTTCAAAATTAACTTGACTTGACTTGACTTTTATTTGGATCTTGCGTCATATTTTATTGAGAATCCGTAAGAAAAATTGAAAAAAAAAATATAAAACTTTGCTACTTTGAATCTTGGTAAATTGGTTTTACTTTTTTTTCTACAAAAATTATTTGCTGAATCCGAAAAAAAAATACATTTAGTGAAAGTGACTGACCCTGCAATAATTTTGATGAATCTAACACTAGCCAGAATAGAATTACCAAATGTTACCAAAGATATTTTTGGATGTATATATGATACGATCTATGTAAAACTCGAAAACATTTTTTTTATTCTGCGCATGCGCATTAGTGCAGTTGTCAGGTTAAGTTAAGTCTTTCATTTTCTTGGTAATCGGTTTGAATGTCACCACGAAATTAAAAGTAAAAATGACAACAACTGCTTTTATTCGAGTGCCTCATAGTAACATTTTAATAACCCAACTTTTGAAGGTGAAATATTTAGATTGTAGATTCTCACGAGCCTGCACCGTCTGCATTTTTGGCTTTCCTTGGATTGGATACACCAACTTTTAGTCCACGATCTACTCTGAGACGTAACGTCACTTTTTGATTAACATGTATTTTGTCTTTTCTTCAAATAACTTATTTCTCGCATAAAACGTTTCAATTTTTCGTCATTGACCTGCGACTTATGCCTGCAATTGATATCCTTGATAACACTTTCATTAAATTCTAGGCATCTCTCAGTCTCTTAAAAGTAAAACAATTCCACCAAACTGAAAGTCACTCGGAAAATCATAATGGAAAAGTTTGACAGAGGCATGCAACAAGGCTAAAAACTGAATGCAATATAATAACCCTTCTATCAAAATGGTCGACGTTCTTTTTGTGTAGATTCGTTCCCCCAACATATTCGAGACAATCCTCAAAAAAATCAGAGCTAGTTATTTATTTTAAAGTGACGAACGAAATTCTCTCTCCCTCTCGCACATTTTTTTCACCAAATTTGAGGTTAGATTTGATTACAACGTAATTGCACGTAAATTTAGGTAACAAGTAGAGATGACTTCAGTAGCCTAGCAAACGAAAGCCTTTTCTAGCCTAAATGTCACTTAGAGTTAGGTGACCGCTAAATATATTAGTGGAAATTGCCATTGATCGAATAATGTACAGTGTATAAACGAACGCGATCTTAACTCGATACCTCGGGCGGAAAAAAATAAATAATAACGGTAACACGATGTTTAAAAAAAACATTAATTATCCGGTCAAATTTCAACGTCTCAGTTTCCCGTTTTCCGTTTCGCAGGCGCTGGCGGCGTTCTGCGCCCATTCCTTCGCAATATCAATCGGAGTGTGCCAGGGTTACAGCGCCATCTGGATCCCGCAGCTCGAATCGTCCGGAGAGTTCGACACCACGACGGACCAGAACAGCTGGTTAGGTAAGCGCGAGCAAATTGAAAATGACGGCGCCGCTACGCCAAACTAATGGATTTTTCCGCCGCCTCTCGAGTCTTGATCGAGGAAATTAACGTATATTACGAAAATTGGTTTGTGGTCAATTATTTATGCGACGTTAGCCAATTTGTGAAAAGAAGAGGAACCAAGTGAAAGGCCCGACATTTATCTTGTTGATTAGAAATTATCGCTTGTTAGTGCTCCTAGCTTTCAACACGAAATACGCTATAGTTTTGTTTGATGTTCGGTTTGTCGAAGACTGCCGTACACAATAAAATAACCCTAATTACCATAATGATGAATGATTATCGTGGAATCGCTTTGGTGATCTGTATAGTTGACTCATTTGCAGCGATTTTATTATAACCAAATCCAGTAAGACTAGTTGGTTTGTAAAAATCATTTTTATACTCGTCATCTCAACAGAACGAAGCTATTTTGCCATCCTAGAAACAATTTAATACCAATAATCCGTTATCTGTTAACTGTGGTTCGATTACGAAGGTTCATTTTAAATTGATAATCTCCGTTATTCTTTATGATAATAAGAAAAAATTATATCAAAAATGTTGCTTACGTATGGTTACGGCTTGTCGCCAAGTTTCTTCTAATTAGAATAAACTGTCTCTATACATTCTCCTTTTATTTCCAGAATAATCTTTTTTCTTTTTAATAAATGTATTGCATTATATTCATAGTGGAGTTGCAAAATGAAAAAAACCTTGTGGTGACGTGTACGCATTACATGCTTTGAACACTGAAAAGGACAGCTGCATTATCAGCTCTTACCAAAAATAACATAATTTGGAGAGTCAAGAAAGTAAGGAAAAAAAACGGATTCCTAGAAACCCTTTTTAAAAACGAGGATCAATCATTCAATTGTTTCATTTTTTTAATAAATTTATCGTCTCTTGTCTATTACGCATCAAGGCACACAGTTATTTACGGAATCATAATTGATCATAAAGATCAGTAAACGACATTGTGACAGGTTGCGTTAACCGCGTACTTAAAATTGGGGTCTGCCAAATGAGGACAAACCAGCGATATCATAAAACTATTGCTACGAAAGCGATAGAAACGATGTCAAGATATCTGAACAAGTGTTCGGATGGACGATAACCTGATCAGATTATCGGATCGAAATCTCGCTAAATTGCGATTCTGTGGATTCGAAATCTAAATCGAAAACTAGAAACACCCCATGCCTATACAAAACCACCTTCGAGTGGGCCGGATGACGTCACTTTTCAGACGCCATCTTTCGAGAATTTCGTCCGCCCCAGTTTCATATGTCGACTTGAATATCGGTCGAGTGAATAAAACATGAAGGCTCGAGATGAAGGACACGCGGTATTTTTTACCGAAAAAAATGTATATACAGCGGCGCGAGACCTCGGTAAAGGATACGTTTCCCCCGCGGTACCACTTCCTCGAACCCTCGACACTCATTGTCGCGTTAATTATTATTCTCGTGGATTTTTCTCGAAAAACATGTCCGCGTTTAAAAGTTCACTCTTCCGGTTTCGTTGTTTGCGTCGCAATTTTTTTCCACCGCCGTTATACGGTGCGGCTATTATATATTCTTGCGCGGCACCTCTCACCGTGATCGTTTCCGATCATAGACAACTATATTATATTGGTTGGTTTCCGATCTACAAACTGACGGGATATACCACCAACCATACACCCCTTTCTCAAAGGCTGAAAACGTAAGCTTTCTTGAGGCATCGCAATAGGTGCGGTTGTTATTGTTTTTCGTTTTCGTGTTTTTTTGCCGCTGCATATCACTAGAAAAAGTTGAGTAAACAATTCGTAAGTGCTATTGTTCGCCGCTTTTATTTAATCGAAAGTTACGTTTTTCCGATCAAATCGTAATAAATAGTGGTTATTTACCTTCTTGAAAACATCACAGATATACGTGTAATACGCAGTCACTGCGTGCCAATTTAAAACTTATTTGTTTTTCTTATTTACCGCAAGATACGCGTTAAAACTCGCGGGGTTATGCATTAGAAAAAAAAACAAACGCTTTTTCAAATTTTCATACAAAAGAATAGATTTATAGAAGATTAATTTAATTCTAATTGGAAATGTAATTTTAACATAACTTAATTTGGTCTATTCCGAATTTACATCAGTGATTTAACAACCATACAAATAACAATCAACGACGTCGCAGAAGGCGTTGTCTTGACTAAAGCGCATCATTTGGCATGGTTCAAAAGTAAAGAACTACCAAATTTAGAAGACCTTAAGTGAATGACTTTAGTCCATTGTTGTTAAGTTGTAATCTGTCTCTCAAATACTTATTTTTAATTACGCTTTTTTTGGTTACTGCTTTATATAGCCATGCGGGCAGCTGGCAACCAACCACACCCTCCGGCAATTGAAACTATCCGTGATAATCAAATACTTCTTTATATGCACACGATTAAAAGAGAGAACAGCAGTCAAACATTTAATGCCTTTTACAATTTTTTCTGAGATTATTGAGGTTCGTTTTTGGTGGCCAAGTGGATTCTTATTGCTTATTGCTTTTCGCATTTTGCTTGTTTTATTGAACATGCAAGGCAATGTATATTGTTTGTTTTCAAGAATCTAGAGGTATCCTGATTAACAGTCGCAACCAGAGTTTTATTGGTTAACATAGAAAATGTTTTGTAATTAAAAGAAAGTCAACACTGCCTTCTTCTCAATTATGTGTGCATTGTCACATTATTTGTTTGTTTCGGCGTTTGACGATTACTGTCAATATTCCATTCGGTTCAAATTGAGCGTGACGTCATTAATGTGACGTCGGCAGTTTGAATAACATTGATCCACACGTCAGAGAAATATTCATTGATTTCATACGACAATGTCATGGTGTGCTTTTTGTTAACCTGTATTATCTAGACTATAAATTATAACAATATAATACGGTACTTTTACTCCACGTTGCAGTTGAAACATTTGCACCTTTTTGGTATTTGAGCTTCGTAGTAGTAATCTAATTTAAAATGACGCTCGGTGATCGCAATATCGCGGCGATTGAACGTATTATGGTGGTTGGCGGGGGGGGGGGGGGGCAGATTTTTTGATGCCACGTTTTGAGTGTATTGACATCATTGTTTCGTTCCATACACAATTTCGCCATTAAAAACGTTGATAAAAGTTTGGCACTCGAAAAGTTGAAGCTTGAAAATTATGTAGGCAAATAACTTAACGTTCGAGGAAATGAATAGGCAAAAAATAATTCCAATCCACCCATTGCAAAGACAGTTACTAGCAAGGTCGTGCAGTTCCAACGCTCGACTCAAAAATTTAAAAAAATCGTCCGCCATTGTTCTAGATTGTTAAGCGACAAATCGTCGATAACAATGGCCCCTAATAACTGGGTTAAGTTTTTTTTTCGCCGTCGATCGGCATTTTCGCTTCACCTTGCAGGGCGTTTCCAATTATCCATTATTATCGTTGAGTTTTAAAACAAAATTTCTACATCGCCATCTATTAAAACAAACCTATACACTACCATGTTGTCATGTTGACAACTTATCGCTCCTGTTTCGTACATCACTGGTCTTTGGACGCGAATTGCAGAGATGTCACCACGCGCGTGTCACAATATTGCAAAAACCGTCAAGTGCTTTTTTTGGCCCGATGAATCATCAACTTCCTTCGGTTGAAATCTGACCCTTCGGAAGGCAAAGATATATTTTTTTGTTACATCTGATACGTAGCCTGCTCAAAAATTTTACGAGATAGAGTTTTTATTGACATAATTGCTAAAGATGTTGATCTCCAGAGTCCCAACGTTTTTACAATATTTTATAACTATAACTTTTATATTTTGCGCTACTTTACACAGTTTTCTATAACAAATATGTGTAATATGTACATTGTGTTTTGAAAATAAAGATGAGTAAAACCGAGTCTAACTAACCAATGCATTTAATTCGCAGCCAGTTTGGGAGCGGTCACGAACCCAGTCGGCAGCGTACTCTCCGGCGTCCTGGCCGAGTACCTTGGCAGAAAAAGGTCCATCCAGATCAGCACCGTACCTTTCATAGTCGGCTGGCTCCTGATCGGACTTGGCCCTAATATCACGTGGCTTTACGTCGGTAGGGCCATCACGGGGGTGGCGGCCGGAATGTCCACTGCGTGTTACACATACGTAGGCGAGATCGCCACGCCCAGCAACCGGGGCTTGCTCAACGCTCTGGGTCCTATGTGCGCTAGCTTCGGCATCCTCCTCACCTACATCCTAGGCTACCTGATCCACTGGTCCACCGTAGCCCTCATCAGCGTCTCTTTCGCAGTCGTCACCCTTATCACCATGCAATTGGTACCCGAGAGTCCGCCCCATTTGCTCAAAACTCAAGGGCCCGGTACGGGTGACGATTCGGAAACCTACAGGGCATTTTACTTTTTCCGAAGGAGCGTCGCCGACACCGAGCACGAGATCAAAGTCGCCATGGCCAGTGAGTCCAACTTGATTCAAATCGATCGAATTATACGCATCGATATTCGTTTCAGACATGACCCACAGCGACGACGAGCCTCACAAATCACTAGTGGAGGTCTACTTCAGTCCCGAAACGGTCAAACCCTTCATCTACCTCGTGGTGCTGTTCCTCCTGCAAGAGTTGAGCGGCATCTACACGATCCTCTACTACGCGGTGTCGTTCTTCGGCGAGACTGACCTCGAGATCGACGACTACGTTTCGAGCATCATCGTCGGCACCATCAGGTTCATCATGTCGATCGCGTGCGTCTTCTTAGTCAACCGCTTCGGTCGCAAAGTACTTTGCACCTTCTCGAGCCTGGGCATGGCCCTTTCCGTACTCGTCGTAGGCCTCTACCAAAAGTACTACGAGATCAACCCCGATTCGGATCGCATCCTCAGCCTGTTGCCACTTTTCTGCATAATGTTCAATGTGTTCTTCTCGATGATCGGTATGCTGCCGGTACCTTGGATCTTGTGCGGTGAGATGTTCCCTCTGCGAGTCAGACCCGTAATGGCGGGCCTGGTTATCTGCATGGCGCAGGGTTTTATATTCGTCTGCGTCAAAGTATACAACGACATGGTGCGTTACCTGGAATTCAGCGGCACCTTGTTCACGTTCTTTGTCGCTTCGGTCGCGTCGATGCTGTTCTGCATGTACGCGCTACCGGAAACGAAGAACAAGAGCCTGCACGAGATCGAAGCGTACTTTAGAGGAGACAAGGCGGCGAAAGAGAAGAGGCCGGAAAAGTCGGGGATCCATAACGCCGCGTTCACGCAGAGTTCGGAAAACATAACGGTTGTCACGCGGTAGTCAAAGCGATCGAATCGGAACGATGCCGCAGACGAACGTCCCTGCGACTGGGACGTGAACGAAAAACGAAAGTGCCCGTCGGGCAGTCGGACGTCTAGTTAGTTTTTCGTCGAATAAGTGAACGGCCGGTCCGTGTGTGCTGTTTTGTAAGGAAAAGAGAGGCGCCGGAAGTCCCTTTTCCGTTTTTTACGACTTCGGTATGGTCGACGTGGCGGATACTTTTTTTAGGTTAACCGTTGTTACCGCGTACGCCCCCCCGCCCCTAAACGTGATAATAAAATCTTGTTTTTCAGAGTTTTTCTTTAGTTATTTACCCTATTGTAATAATGGTGTCACATGACAGTACAAAACTTACAGCTTACTGTAACAACAAGCTCTATAACTCGTCTGGCGTTCCTACATGGAAAAACACCAAAAAGAAGTGTAGATTCCCTAGTACATATCGGAACCTTATTTACCAGCGCCATTGTGCGCTACAAATCTAACTAAATGAAACAAATAAAGATGCACTTAAGCTACATTGTAACAGGTTTTCCATCCATTCAATAACAAACACAAATACCTAGAAGAAATAAATACAAAAAGTCTTTAAAAAAATAAAAATCTTTTATTAATCTGACTACCTCGTTTTTAATTTGGCTTTGTTTTGCAATTTTGGGCAGTTTTTGCATACAGCGTATATTTTAAATTAAAAAAAAGGTTTTCCAGTTTCGTGTGCAAATTATGAATCGATTCTAATGAATACATGCTCAATGTTCCAATGTCTTCGCTTTCATACACAGGTCAAGACTCAATTCGTTCAATTTTGACACGTCTGAGTTAAGCTGCAGGCACAGTATAGATGGAACACCGATTGTCCGTCGATTTTTTTTATTAGGTTTCTGTCCGACTGAACTCTCGCATTGTTCTCACTCTAAGGCCTGGGCCGGACTCAAAGAAATTCGATTAGAAAGACGCGAGTTTAGACAGGATCGTATTGTACTATATAGCTATATTACAGATAACATTAAGATTCTAACCTACAAAATCCACTGTAATTTCTAATTTTATTTGTTTAAATATTTTTATTTATATATAATAACATAAATATAACCTAATAATTTTTACCTGAAATATATAGTATAAATATTGTGGGTTATGAAATAAAAAAAGAAATTTTGCTTTTATTTTTTTAATTTTATCTTGTTCATTCTAAAAAAAGAAATGCATGGACAATACATATTTTAGTGATACCGAAGAAGTCATTTCTATGATCGTTACATATTTGAGTCAAAGGTTTGGTCTCGCAAATGGACGGTGGAATTTCACGAGAGGTGCAAAAAGTCTGTTTTTCCTACTTAACTGCAGTTATTTCATTAAAAAAAATTTAAAATTATAAAAGCAACGAAATTTATCATTAAAAAATTAACTTATTTATATTTATTATGACCATTAATTAATAATTATTCACTGTTTTTTGTTATTTTGTTTTAATAAGGTTGCGCTACAGAAAAACAAGTTAAGAAGCGTAAAAAAAATACTGAAAGCACATTTTTAAATATAAATGTTGGAGTGAGAAGTTAGACTCGCGTTCCGGGACTAACCTAGCTTTTTTTGCGTCAAACGTTCTCCAATCTTTGACAAAAAAACCCGGAAAATAGGCGAAAAGAATTGAACCCAAAGTATTCAAATTTGGTCGGCAAGTAAAACTCGCGAAACTAATAATTTGTTGGTCAAATAAACTATCCTCGATCGTTGAAGGAGGAAACCGGGAGGAAATTTGCGAAAATCGTCGCCGCAGCCACCCCGACGACGCCGGCAGCGCCGCGCGATCGATATAGTTCACGAACGAGGTCCGACTGGCGACGGCCGTCCCGACGTCGAATCTATAGGTGGCGGCGACGCGCACCGCTCCTCATTTGTCCGCCGCCCGAATCCGTAACCGCTTCGTTAGGTCGATACAGACGTCCGTATCGTCAGAGAACGCGTCGCGACGCCCGTGATTTCCCGTCGTACGCAACACGACACCCTGTAATCGCACGTCCGGTAAGTTTCGATATCATTTGCGCCATTTCCGTTCATGAAGCACGTAATCCTCTAGACGCATCTCCAGCCTCCCGACAGACCTATTAATCCATCACATCGAGTTGGCCGCGGACGGCCCACAGATCGTTTTATAATAGTTATCACAGCAGCATTTTTTAAAGAGCCTCTTCTCGTTTTTATGCCACATGTAGTTGACTTCTTTAATAAATATAATTTCACGATATAGTAATAAGTGAGACTACAAATTCGTTATGAAAAAGTGAAATGGACCCCTTCTACAGAAAGGAAAACCGTTTTTCTTTAATAACCCTTAAGCCATTTAAAATTGACTAATTTTACTGTATACATGGTTGCCTATTTGTATTATTTTTATAGACCCTTGAGAATTCGTCCTTGCCCAGTATCATCTATGGGATCGCTGAAGGTCGCGACTTATTGACATGATGTATGTGTGTTGTCCAATCACACGAAAGCACTACATTTTTTCTACACTTCACCCAAATAAGTTAATCTTCATTTTTGTGTATCGATTCCGGCCAATCAACTTTGATCGTTGGTCACTTTCAGCTAAACAGATTTAATTTTTCCCCAAGCCTTTCGGAAGGTATCTTTGCCTAACACCCAATAGCTACTTTTCTGCGTCAATAAGAAACATCCACTTAATCAAATAAGCTTATCTGCAGCAACATAAAATAAGCATGAATATAATGCAAGTTATAGGCAACCAAAACCACACATATAAAGAACAAAATTTAACAAAACTAACTGAAATTAAAGCAGAAAAAAACATCGTTATAAGCGTTATTAATCACTGCAATCACAATAATTAGTATCGGAAGTAATGTCCAAATAAGTATGTTCCTATAGCTTCTAGTGCCGATTGCCGTCTATCGCACTCGTTAATATACCCTCTCGTCGTCATCGCCCTAAAAATAAAAACGCTCCTGCGGCAGGTCAGTGTCACGCTGTAGATGACTCATGTGAATCTATCGTTACGCGTGACTCATATCGTCGTAGTCAAATCAGAATGGCGTATGTAATTTTTCTGGGCTTTTCGGAAATGGAAAAATCTTAGTTCTTAGTCCTTCTGTGTCATTTATAGCAACAAAGCTTTTAGTTATGATTGCTAACACCACCCTCTATCGGGGTTTCGTCAAAGCTGCTGTTTCGATAAGACCCGCTACATAGTTACGGATCCAGGGATGCAAGCTACCGAACTTTTTGATCTGGGCGGAATGTATAAGCCACACTTCCCACTACTAATGTTAATTCTTTTACTTCTAATGGCCAACTGCTAAAGATCATTGGCCCGCATACAAATATTGAAAAACGACTATCCAAAATTCCTGAAGGAAGCTTTTTTCAAAAGGAAAGGGTCCGGAATAATCCATCATTCTCTAAGTGTATTAAGTAAACTTTTAAATAATTAGTCATAAAATGATGACGGTTCCAACAATTATCTGACTCGGGATTTCCGATCCCATCTGGCCTGGATACCAGCGTGAATATGAGAGATCCGGAAACCGACCAATACACCATACAACTCCTTAGTCATTCAAGCAAGCATTGATTCGCAAAACTATAGGTACTAAGCCTTTAACGATTCAATTAAAAAATATACTAAACAAAAATGTTTTAAACAACACAATTTTTCAATCGATTTATAACTTTTTCGAAACAAACGTCCGCCATGTGCAATGGTGCCCTCGAACAATTCAATTCAATGATGCGTTTCACAGATAGCTGTTGGGCACGATTACCAGGATCATTTGCCCATTGCCGACTTCCGTCGAGGAATGCCCTCGAACAATAATAACGTTCTTCTTTTTCTTCTTCGTATTTTTTACTTTTATTGGCTAAGAGTGCTAAGATCACTCGGACACTTACAACTATAGTCCAACATTTTCTTTATAACCTGAATTAAAACAAGTCCATCACTCTCCAAGGGAAACAAAATAATGGAAGATTCATTTCTCTTCAAAACATTTAACCGATAGCAAAAAATAACCTCACCAACCAAACTTGTCAAGATTGCAATATTCGGAAATGTTTAAGCCTTCTTTCAACGTCATCGTGTTGTTGTTTTTTAATTATATTAATTAAATCGAAAGCACTCTTATTGCGAATTGCTAGAAAACCAGTGAAAATTCTCCAATAATGCAGTTGACAGGTCTATTCAAGCGTAGGCATTGTGGACTGGCGACCTTTATTTTGTGGCGGATGCGCCGGACAAACAAACAAGCAAATAAAAAAAAAGTTTTACTGCTTTCAGTAATCTCGCGGCTTGGAAGAGAACCACGCATGAACATCGACGAAGATGTACGTGTCGTGGGTAGCAGCAGTCTTCACTTTGGCAACGTTGGCCTGTTCCGAGGAACTCCGTCCCTCATCGAACTACGACTTTAAAGGTAAATCCCATAAAGGACGACCTTTGAGACCGCACGCCATTTTGGCGTCCTTTAAAGGTCGGAGGCAGCGACCCGTTTAATTGACACGAATTTCAGAAACGACGGAAGCTTCCAAAACTACCACCCAGGTGTCCGACAACGCCGACAAATACGGGACTGGAGTGAAAAAGGCACTGGCGTGGTTGATTACGCAGCGGGGCGACGACTGGGGGTGGAGGAACGACACACCTAAGGTGCTGACGGCCTTGCAACTCGCGGCGGAAGAGGAGGCGGTCGGCCTTAGCCCCGCGCGTCATGAGATCGAGCTGTCTAGCAAACAGATGGAGATCGAAATCGTGATCCTGCTGTGGCGGTAAGCGGGGCGTAAAGAAAAATTGAAAATACATAGCTGGTTTAATAGGCGAATGGCCATAGTATTCTTGCCGACGTGGTTGCACGGAGAAAGTCTTACGTTAATTTAAAGCCCGGCAGACAAGATAAAATTTCTACAAAAATTGCTGTTAAAACTTCGTTAAAATTTCAACTGGGCGTTTTGTCTGGAAGGAGACACGATAAACCTGGTTAGGTATGGTTTGTTCATAGATATAAGAAAGTGACCAATTGCTTTTGAATGGGATTATCCAAGGGTAGTCAATAACATACAATGCAACAAGATTATTACCAAAAGTTTCGGAATTTAAATTCAGGTAAAATTGTGGTCCGTAATAGAATAGTATACTATGCAACAAGTGCGGTAAACGGTATTTGACTCACGAGTTTATACTTTTTCTACGACCGTTAGTTTTTGGGTACATTTTCGCAAAACAACACGAATACATGACGTGGCTGTCAGAATTGACAAACGTCAAAATTCAAATCCGTGCCGTAAAATCCCGGAAATGTCCGCAGTGGCTCGGATTCATGGGAAACGAAACTGATGTGGTAAAGTGACGCTTCCCGCAAGCTAGATCGGTGGGGAATTGGGTATTTTACAGACGGGAGTAGAAAAAATAATTTTATACCTACCTGTGTTTAATATTCTCTGGTTTGGTATACTACTTAGTTTAAGTTTGTTAGTAATCATTTTTATTTCGTGTATAATACAGCGTGTGTTGAATCGTGAGCGAACTATGCAAAATATGTGCGAGTCTAGTGTATCTCAGGAGATGCTCCCGCCCAAATGTAGAAAACACCATTCTATTGATTTTGATTTTGCTCTTATCTCGTAGTTTTCCGAGAATTTATCAAAATTCAACTTGGGCGTAATCTTAAACGATTTTTTTTACAGTAAAGATTCAATTTTTACGTATTTGTATATATAATATGTAATTTTCCTAATAAATGCCTACACAGTTTTGTAGTTGTCTTTGGGAAAATAAATATTATTTATACAGACAGGTGTGTGTTGTCTTCTTACAAAGTAGCAGTACAGTGTTATTGATAATCCTAAATGAATTCTGGTTTATTCAAAAACACTTTCATTTACAGTATCTCTAGAAACAAATTCAAAGACAGATTTAAACTGCCTGAAGGTAACTGTTCTTTTTTTTGTGTATTATATATGGTAGTTTTGTTGTTATTGAATAAATTATAAGTATAGAATGAGAACCTAATTTATCAAAAACAATAACAATACCGTGGAGTTGCCATTGCCATTATAACCACTACTTGGGTGATTTTTGCGATGTAATATCTTATTAAATTTCAGCCACCATGACGTTCCTATCACGCCTCCGCAGCTAGCCAAGTATTGCCTGGCTCTGAGCTCGCTGTGCCACGACCCCAGACAGTTTCACGGGCACGACCTCATCGGTACTTTGCAACACCACGAGGCCACCCACGACCTCGGTAGGTATCGCGTTTTACACCCACGTCGATAAACACCACGACGATTGTTCTAGAGTTCGCTTACGCGACCCTGGCTGCTTGCACCGCTCGGGCTCACGTCAGGAAGAAGCAGATCCGGAGGCTGCTCGACATAGCCAACACCGCCAAGGATCACAACATCGGTAAGCCCACCACCGCCCGCGTTTTCATAAAAGAGTGTTGTTCGCTACTTTTAGATACAGTCGCGATGACAATTTTGGCGCTGCGGTGCATCGTCAAGGATCACCGCCACCGCAACCTGCAGCATTCTCTGCGCAGGCCCAGCATCAGCTTGGCCCGCCAGCAGCAGCCGGATGGCGGCTTCGGCAACGTGTTCAACACCGCACTGGTTCTGCAGGTATACTTTGTCTTTGGGTTTTTACGGCACTTATCTGTCGGTCAAATATTTGATTTGATTTAAATGTTCTATGCGCTTGAAGATACGATTATATGGAGAAAGGTGCCTTATTTTCAAGAAAAATGCCCTTGTAACTGGATTCAAAACAAATATCATTTTGTAGCAGGCGGCTGTGTAATTTTTGAAACCAGTACCTGCGTGACAGTCCGAGCAAAAGTCGTTAATATTTTTTGCAGACAACAGCAAGCAATTTGGCCTTAATCAATCTTCTAATGCAGCGTGAATTGTGCGGACGCGTTTTCTTTTATTCGAAGGCGTTTTTCTGTCAAGGATGGAACGGCTAATAGTTATATTGGTTTCATCTCCTTCTAGCTTCGTTGAATTGAAAAGTTAAAGTTTCTTGTTTCATAAATCCTCCACTTACAAAAAAACAATAACTTTTCCTGGTCCGGCGCTAAACTTAATGAATTCTCTACACCAAGAATGAACTAGTGCTTTTCGAAAAGCACGGCAAAATGCACTGGCCGTTGTAATTATGGAGGAAGGTCCTTCAAAATTTCAAGATGATATACTTTGAGACACACTTTACTTGCGTGTGGTTACGCCTTTAGTCCCACGGTCACACTATCGTTACCAGCTAGTTCCGAATTAATATTGATTCAGATTGTATCCCATCACGTTTCATTGAAAAACGTTAATCGACAGAGTCAAAGACCAGTCATTACTCGATTTGGGATATAACGCGTGGTCGGACTTTTATTCACTAGGTCGCTTTTATAGTAAAGGCGTAACCCCACGTCAATCGAATTCTGTGCGTCTAAAATTTGCTTCGGGATTGATCAAATCCGGTAGGGTTCCAATTCGACGCCGTTAATAGTTATCGATTATTGTCGTCCTAAAAATCCCACCATTAACTTCGAGTACACGTGAAATTGCTTTGCGTGTGGTACCGCCTTTATTCCGACCTCCTGCTTTCCTGACAAAGGCGTAATACGAGGTCCGTTCCTATTTCAAATTTCGCGTTTGCACGGATCCCCAGGCCCTGCAAGACCTGCACGAGCTAAACTCGCACTGGAACAAAACTGCGGCCAGAGCCTACTTAGAGTCGAGGCAAGATCCTGACGGCGCTTTCACCGATCCCGGTCTGACGTCAGACGTTATCCTGGCACTGTCCGAAAGGAGTCTAGGAGTGATTCGCAACATGGACTGCGGCCGACACGATAGCGATTACGAGAATAACGGTAACCACCGATCTATATACAAACGATGTTTTTACATGGGTTGACTGCGTTATCTAAAGTCAAAGCTACGTAAAGCAAGTTGTCCTAGGGGACCTTAGTTTAGGCAGCGGTGGTTTGCAATTAATTTTCACGGAACATATTTTTTTGCAGTCGAAATCGATGGTCTGACAAAATCGCTATCGTCGCATGGAAACGACAGCGAAATACGAAACGTCACCGTGACGTATACGCTCTGGGTAGGCTCCAATGTGACGGAAAACTGCACGACCACCATAACCGCACCAAGAAATACGTCTTTCTATACAATAATGCAAGTGAGTAGTCCACGAGGACGATAAAAGTCCACTCGATTTAACTGACGTTTCCGTCGCAGATGGCGATGGACATGGATCCTCACTTTGCGTTTGAGGCTTCCGAATGGCCCAATGGCCATTACGTGCATACTTTGGCCGGTTACAAAGAAGAGCCGATGGGTTACCACTATTGGTTGCTCTATAGATTGCCAGAGTTGCCAGATCCTTCCGCTCCGCCAGCCAATCAGCTGGTCGCACCTGTTGGTACGTTGGTAACTTATTGAAAATGACCGTTGGAACCACTATGGTAAAAATTAATGCGCCCCATGCGGCATTGATATTTTCGTTGCACTTTCTGAACAATGATTTCCACACACTTAACTCGTTCTCCCAGAACATTTAACGAAATCTATTCATATTTTGCAGTAAAAATGTCACATCCAAACTTACTGGCGGTACGTCAGCGGCAATGTTGATGCTGCAAGCTCATTGGTTAAAAACGAAATGGATCTTCCTAAAAGTTTATTCATAGTTGCTTGATAAGTTTCTCTATATTTCTAGAAGTTATATGGTTGGAACATATTTTTTTTACATTAAACTAATTAACGAAGTCGTGCGTTTCAGGTGTGGACGACTTGCTGATCGAAGAAGGGGATCACTATCTGTTCTGGTACAAGAAGCTCTAAAGTGAACCGTGGACGCATGCACGTAACAGAACGCAATAATAAAAACAACCCCCTTACGTTTGCGACAGTTTCTCGGGTCTACATATATTTTTTTTAGGCAAACGCTTACGTTTTTTTCTCTTCCCAATTTTTGCGACGAACTACCCTTCTCTAGCGTTTTTGTCATAAAATATTCAAAATGGCTAAAAGCTTCAACGTTTTAAAATACGGACAAAACTATTTTAAATTGAGCTTCGCAGACAAAGCAAAAAAAATTAAGGTCATTTTAACTTTTTATTGATAAAAATAAAACCAACAATAAATTATTTCTTTTACACAAATACAAGTGAGGTTAGGCTACGGAACATAACACGTAATCTGGAATAATTTTGTATGGTGTTTGAGCAAATATTCCAAATTATTCTTCGCCAAAATTCAGTAGTAGCTCCGCGACGAGCTCGGACGTAACTACCTACAGGGTGACGCTAATGATTTAGTTTAAGCGTATTAAAACTATGGGTTGACGTTTTCAGCTTTAGTTCGATATAGATTCATGTTCTAAATATGTATCTGACTTTATTATGGATGCTTTTCGGTCATTATCCGAAACTTGCATAATCGCCCTAATTTCGCTATGAATTTACATATTCACGACGCGCAGATAAATGTATTCAGGTTTACGTGTGATTTTCGTTCGATGAGTATTAATGTGTGTCTTAAAAGTTAACGATATCAAGTAGGTACGGATATTCTGATGTCTCCACGCTTACGAGAAATAATATACAAAAAAGCCAAGACGGCAAGTAAGGTTAATAAGTCAAGAACGAGTAAACAAACACACAAGAAAACTAAACAATAATTCGCCAAATTGCATTATCGCAGACAATACCCATAAGGATACTTTGTTCGGTGTGTATTTTTTCGGTAGCTTAGTAATTCGTTGTTGACTGGCGTTGTTGAACATTTTGGATGATTATTTTTACTATAATTACGGATACTTTCGGCTTTCGGTTTAACGTGATTAATAAAAATAGGTTATGTACTATATAATGAATAAACATTTTTAAGTTCAGAGTGGCTTTTTGTTCTTTGCGAGGAGTTTCGCAACCTATTTCCAAGCCTTAAGTCGCTTCCTAAGATGTTTCGTCTATAAATGCACACATTTTTACGCTAGGCGATGAATTATAATTTTAAGAGTAGGTAACCTTTGCCAGGTATGTTTTAATTTACAACTACCGAAAATCAAAATACAATCCACTTTTAAATCATTTATTGGTAAATATGAAAAATTCCCTTCAGTTCCTACCCGTTACATTCATTTTCCCAGTCTTGAGGAATGATTTCACTTAGACTGCTCTCGAAATCATCTAGTAGGCACGGATTTGCGCAAAACTCGAGTTGCTGTTCCTGGGGCAACCCTTCCCAATATTCTTTATACAAAACCTCGAATATCAAACCATTTCCTTTATAACGCCAGACCTCCCTTTAGAGCGAACTCACCTTGATGCTTCGGTCAGAATAAATCTCGAAATGCAACGAGGACCCGTACTTAGGTTTGATTGTATCGGTCAAATTTAGAGCCCTCATTACTTGCACTATTGTCAAATCGTGTCCCGAATAGATGTTAATGAGTGGCACTTTTGCATCGACAGCCGCCTTCCGCATCAAATCCACAATTGTTTTTAAAAGCGGGCCTGAAGGAAATTAATAAATTAAAAACCTGCTGTCATTTAATGCCTGACTTACAGGGCGAAGAAATTCATCAATAAATTCAAATCAAGTTTCCCATAGACACATATATCTAAATTCACAGGTTAGAATTTATTTGTTAGCATTTTGAGGTTTCCTTATTGTTTTTCTGCGAAAGCTGTTCAAAATAAGAGGCAAACTAATTGTAAGAATAAAATTAACAGAAAAACTTCTCATGTTGGCACCAACTGGCATTCCTTTAACTGTCATGAGTTGGTACCTCCTGTGTTTTTGGACGAATGACAGTCTGTGTCAATTTGTTGAACTTGTTTATGAGTATATTCATGAATTTATTCTCAACGCAAATCAAGCGCGGAACACAAGTGATTTCCGACAGACCCGCCTTCATTTTTTTCATAAATTCCGTTTCGGAGTACAGAGCCAAATTTCGTGCTGCCAGTTCCTTCATTGAGGCCATAAGAGTAGAGTTAATCCAACTTGGCAGAGCCAAGTTATTCTGTTGTTCGATTTCCAGAGTGTTGTACAAAGATTCGACGATACCTATGTCAGTAACAGGCATGCCCGTGCATTGGGATAGATACTCGAATAAAATCCGATTTTGTGAATTCATATCCGCCACCTTCCGCGAGTTTGCAACTTCCGCAAATGCGCGGTCATATTTTTTGCAAGCTCGTTTCATTGCAATCGACTAACGGGGAAAGTGACCCTTAGAAATCGACGAAAAACTTTCACAGTAAAAGATTGATCGTAGCAACTTACATTGTCCAAACTTCTTGGTAAATAATGAATTGGAACGGGCTGCCATAACAAATTATCGTTCCAAACCTGTTCGTCTTTAGGAGGATACATTCCGGCCGCAACTAATTCAGCGCTCATTAAGCATCTGTCAGAGTAACTGCTCGTAAAATTGACCTCTTGGGGCCAGTAATAAGGGGACAAGAATGGGGAATAGTAGGCCCTTAAGTTTTGGCCTAGTGAATACATTTGTCGTTTGCCCTCCTAAAAAATAGTTGGATAATATCTCGTTATATTAGGAATCCATTTTTTAGATTGTAATGTGGGTGTTATGAGCCCTACCTACCGTAGTCAAATGTCCCCATCCTCCGGGCCATTTGTAATTGATATAAGGATCGTTGGGGTACGTTTCTGTGGGGGCTCGGGCGCCGTGTCTGAAAATCTGCAATTTTCGTTGGCTATCGCGATGGTTGATGCCAACACCTAAGATTCTTACCACGTGAATTTGCTTAAGAGATTTATTGGAGTCGGACGCGTGACAGTTGAAAATCACAAATATTAACCAAATTTTACAGTGTTTGGTACACATGGTGCTAATTTTTTATTAAGAGATTTTGAATAGCCTGTTTATTTAAATAGCGTGAACTTTTTTAAAAAAAAAACACAGATCGCAAAATTGTCTGTTGTGCTCTCAATTTATGGCTTTGGAATCATGAACCATAGAATTTGTATTCTCTGAATCTGAATTTGGTGGAAGGCCTGAATATATTGTGAAATCCATAAATTTAATATCCCACGAGTTTTTAACAAAAATTAATAAATACTTGGAACAGATTACGTAATTTAATATTTACCAATGTAAAATTCGAAAATAGGGAAAAGGAAAAAGCATAGTATAATTTTGACAGATAAAATTTAGACAGACGATCCGCATGTGTTCGTATGGTTCTTGGAAGATTTTAGTTTTCGGCGTTTGGTTAATTTAAGTTCGCCGCGTTCTTTTTTTTCTTTCGATAACATCGTAGACGATGGCACAAAGTAAGTTCAACGATCTGGCCAGTAAATGGGGCAAAGGGGGCCCTCCCGGATTAGGTTTAGGGATGAAACTGTTGGCCGTCGGCGGAGTCGCTGCTTACGGGATCTCTCAATCCATGTACACAGGTATTTTTGTAATTTTGAAATTCAGCTACCAGGTGACCCACGAAACGTGTTTTTGTAGTCGAAGGCGGCCACAGGGCGATCATGTTCAACAGGATAGGTGGTGTACAAAAAGAGATATACACTGAAGGTTTGCACTTTCGCATACCCTGGTTTCAGTATCCCATTATTTTCGATATTCGGTGAGATCATCGGTGATTTCCGGTAACCTTCACGAGTTTGAGTACTTTTGTAGGTCGAGACCGAGAAAAATTTCTTCCCCTACTGGTTCCAAGGATCTGCAAATGGTAAACATTTCTCTCAGGGTCTTGTCCAGGCCAAACGCCAGCCAACTACCCATCGTTTATCGGCAATTGGGGCTAGATTATGACGAGAAGGTGTTGCCTTCCATTTGCAATGAAGTACTCAAATCTGTAGTCGCCAAGTTTAATGCTGCCCAGCTGATTACCCAAAGACAGCAGGTATTTTGCTGACATATTTGAAAGCGGACATAAATCTGGCATTTTCGGTTAGGTATCCTTGTTAGTGCGTCGTGAACTGGTGGAACGGGCCCAGGACTTCAACATCATCCTCGATGACGTTTCGATCACGGAATTGTCGTTCGGCAAAGAGTACACGGCAGCCGTCGAAGCCAAGCAGGTGGCGCAACAGGAGGCGCAAAGAGCTGCGTTTGTGGTCGAACGAGCCAAGCAGGAACGCCAGCAGAAAATTGTCCAAGCGGAAGGTGAAGCGGAGGCAGCCAAAATGATATCCTTTTTTTCGTTTTATCTTTTATTTTACTGCTGTCGAAACTACTTGTTTTGCTTGTTTTTCTTAACTGACAGTTACTTGGGTGAGGCCATTTCGAGAAATCCCGGTTACTTGAAGCTGAGGAAGATCCGAGCGGCTCAGAACATTTCGAGAACGGTGAGTTTATACCCTAACCTCAATTCGCGAACTTTCTGGTCGCGTTCGCTTGCATAGCCAACTCCCTTTTTCAGATCGCCAATTCTCAAAATCGGGTGTACTTAAGCGGCAACAGCTTGATGTTGAACATTTCGGATAAAGAGTTCGACGACCAGAGCGACAAGTTAAAAAGTAAGAGCTAGGAGGGAAATACGGAACGCGTTTTAGTCGTTTATTTCTTACGAATCATCGGCATGATCGTTTAGGGCCAGATTTCCAATTAAACCGAATATTTCCGAAAATTGTCGCCATTTCTTGTGTAAAATATTCGTTAATAAATTGTTTCTATGATTATTTTGTTTATTTCGTCTTGAAAAGAAAAAAAAAAACGAAAAATGGTAAACAAAATTTTTTAGAAAAATCGCCACTTTGAGAGTAAAATTTTGTTAATTATTTTTCGTTTTTTTTTTCTCTTTGTAGGTGACGAGGAAGGCGCGAAATTTGACGCGCTGATGGAAGAATCACGCGATTTCTCCGTCATGCAGCTGTCGCAGTTCGCAGCGGACCGAATCTCTCCCAAAAATTTCAAGTAAAACGAAAAAAAAAAGAGCATTTGTCGCGGGCGATCGGTTGCCATAGATTTATATATTTTTTAAATAAAATCACATTTTAAACTGGAAAAAAACGCAATAGAAAAAGCAAAACACGCACTTGTAGAAAATAATTATCCCATAATCTTAATTAATAATATCTTTAATAAACGTACCAACAAATTTTATAATAACGTAAACAAAAATCAACATCAAAATCCTCAAAGAAAATATATATCGCTACCATATATACCTGCATTATCAGAAAAACGCCAAGCCATTTTCAAGGAACACAACGTTCAAATAGGACACAAAAGTTATAATTTACAAAAAACTTTTCCCTTCACTAAACTCAAAGCAAAAATTCCAGTTGAAAGAAGAAGTAATATAGTAAATTCCATGCTCTAATTGCGACAGTGTATATATAGGACAAACAAGCCAATATTTAAAAAATAGAATCAACGGACATAAGTATGACAAAAAAAAACAAAACAGCTCTTCAAAATTTTCAAAAAGTTAAAGTCCTACTAACAGAACCTAACAACAAAAAAAGAGAACTTTATGAAAGTATAGAAATCCAAAAAATCAATTAATTACAAAACCGATTCTAAAAACCTTAACAAAATATATTATTCAATTTTAAACTAACACAATAAAAAAACACGCGTACCTGTTTTGCATGCCATTCCAATCCGTATAAAATATTCGCTGACAAATTATATTTATTTTTAATATATTAACACAACGTCAAATGTCAACTGTTATATATGTCATCTATACAAAATAAGAATATTTTGAAAAAGATGACTACTATAATTATATATATATTATAAATTATATACTATAAATTATATATAAATACTTGAAAATATTTATTCCGGGATATCATCCGTTCGCTTGTTGAACTCAGACTGGAATCCTGCAGACGTTTCGCCAAAATGTTACTTGGCATCTTCAATACTCTCCCTTCGAAAACACTTCGAACACTGGAAGGTTATCGGCGATGCGTGCGGTATATATAACCTACGCCGAAGGTGGTAACGGTGCTGCTTCTGCGGGAGGGGAGACGGCTCCGCCCGCCGCATTGTCGCGTTTATTTCGTCCGATCGTAGTTGCGATGTCCCCGTTGGCTACTGTGTATCGCCCGGCCGTTTGATTATCGTTTTCCACGTATTGGATAAATGCAGAGCGTCGTCTCTCGTATTTAGGTGTCCGTACTTTTCTATCTCGATGGCCTCTCATATAATCCTGGTCCTAAAATCAGAAATGTTAGCAATTTGTTTACAAACGCCGAAATCAATCTTATGGTCGGTCTGGTGTTGGTGCCGATGTTGTTTGTTTATTTCTTATGGCCAATCGATGTTCCCCGAGCCTGGCAGAAATCCTCGTATTGGTCTGTCCCACGATCATGCAGCTCGACTTGAAAAAAAATTGAGGTTAATTCTACATGCGCATGCGTGACATTTAAAATTTAGCTTTTAACCAATGGCACCTCTAATTACAAATTATAAATAAAACCTTTCGGCATTTAATAAATTTTTACGTTACGTGTTTCCGGTGGGTAAAGTAGGGAACGCGTTGTTCCGCAGACGAAAAATGGCTGCCGTCCTAGAAAAGCGTTATTGCAAATCAGTTCTTTACCATCGCGTTCCGTCGTCGATGGTAAATCAAAGCCAATGAAAAGTAAAAATCGAAAAGTACAGACGGCAAGAATTTATTTCCGTAGGAACGACTGAACGAATTCGAATCTCCCTAATTGGTTGGCGTCCATTTACAGGTATGTTCGCTCTACGCTCCTGTATTTTACTTTCAAAAATACAACGCGACCCACAACGGAACAAATATCTGGGTCCGTAACGGGCTATTGCCATGTTTCAATTCCTTTCGGAAATAATTAGCTAAATTCAACAAAATTTGCAGGGCATCATAATCTTAATAACAAAAATAAAGTGTGACTTACCGCCTAAGTCTGTGTGAATGTGCTGCCATCTAGCGGATGTCCAGAACCCGATACGTTTTTACAATAACAGGGAAAGCATGTGCATTATTCGGTGATAGTGTTGTAAGTTTGACAGTTCCGTCGAGACTCTCGAAGTGATAGAGCGTGACAAAAAACGTACGCTGTTGTCGCGAGATTAAATAAAAACCTGTTTGGGGTCCCACATCCGTGAGGCGGGGAAAGGAAAAATAGAAGACGTCGTAACGCTTGGCAAGTCCATTTACCAACAAGATGGTTGCCCCACAGATAATGGTAGGACAGTTTCTGAGTGCCACGTTTCCAAATTGCACAATAATTAGATAGATTTAGCACCAAATGGTTTTTCTTTGGGGTTACGTCGGTACATAATAATAATAAAGCTTGCAGTTTTACATAAAAAAAACTCCGGTTTAATCTCGTTAACTGTCTTTTAATTCAACAAAATAAAACATGACGGTTTATAGGCATCGATCGCCCGTCTATGGTACAAACACAAACTAAACACGTACGAGCCATTAATACAAAGTGCACTTTATTTCGCTTACTTTCACTTAAAACGTTACACCGGCGGGGGGTAATCGGGGGGGCCTCCCCCCACCCTGCCACGCCCATTTTACCCGGAAAACGACAAATTACTCTGCGGTGCATAGTACATAACGAACTACTACTGCAAGACGAGCCCGATTTGTGATGGCCCCATCGGCGGACATTTCCAATTGTACAAGTAGTACTGCAGTTTGCCGTCACCGATGCCGAACTTGAGCGTTTCGAGGAACTCTCCGTTGTTCATCAGATCCAGCGCGTTAAACACGTCGAAACCGAGCTGCTTCGCCGATATTAGGGCGTCCTGCATCAGGTCGATCCACGGCGTAGTCGTACCGCCGACGTTGTAAAAACTGTAAGCCGCCTGCAAATTAAAAAAAATAAATAAAGCTAGAAAATAAAACTTGGTAATAATAGCATAAAAAGAACAAAACAAATTCATTCAAAATGGAAATAAAAGGAAGTAATAATAAAAAACGAATTAAGTAAAAATTAAAGTAAATTATCGCTCGGCTTGTGTATTTCCTCAGTCCATGGTCACTTTTGCTTCACACACCAAAGTCCACTCTTGAGACTTTGCCAAAAGAAGCAATCCCACTTCTGATGTATACTGTTTTCAATGTAAAGCAAGGTCACAAGAATCTTTATTAGAGAACTTGTGATCCGTCGGCGATCGACATCTAGTCCCTATACTAAGAAAACAACATCAAGCAAGGATGGAAGTGATCGCCTAGAGCCACATGCGGCCCGCGAACAGATTTTGTCCGGCCCGCGGAGAGCTTGTATACTTGAAAGAAAAATCTACTAGAGATTAGATGTTGTTTATAGCAAATAAATTTAGTTTACTGAAGTAATCTATCTTTACGTTGAATATTAATTAATATGACATCTACATTGATATGGTCATGGGCTAACTACTCATAACATTGTTGTAGGTTATTATATACTAACCAACAAATTATTGAAATGAATTCAACCAACATTTTATACATTTTAAATAAAAAAATAACTTATAACAAGCATAATGACATATGAAATTCTAATGAGATTTACATAATTGTGATTTTCCACTGACAATAGTTTGTAGTTGTGGGCTAATTTTACTTGTACCAATATTAAAAGAGATTTAAGATGCCCATCAGTCAATTTAGATCTGTAGACATTTTTTGTGTACTTCATTTTGGAAAAGGTCTTCTCACACAGATAAGTAGTACCAAAAACTGACGGACTGATTCAACTTTTTTTATCACCGGCGACAATTAATGATAATATTGTTTTGGCCCTTAGAATTTCTTGGCGTGATCAATATGGCCCTAAGGCTGAAAAGTTTGGAGACCCCTGCACTAATGGATTGTGTTGACGACCTAACTACATTTTCCAATTGTTTTAAAAAAGCCGGTTTTGGTCAGTATTCTGAATGGGAAGAAGAAGATGAGGTTCAATTGACTTTCCAAAGTGAACGCCTGAAAGAAAAGAGTGAAGAAATCCAAATAGGAATCGAGTTTAAAGCTTGGACAAACATTAGAGGTATAGCAGGAGGTAGCACCATGAACGATATTATACATGTGGATGAGGATATTGTTACTTCAGAGTTTCCTACTGATGAAGATATTATCGAGTCCTGCAGATCCGAACCGGTACAGTTAAACATCGAAGATGACCGGGAAAGTGACACGATGGAGGAGGAATTGGAAGACGATTCCCAGCAACCACCTTCAAATGAATTGGTTGAAAATTCGTTGATTGTCTTGCGTTCCTATTTGAAAACCAGTGAACAATTGAAGCTTTTGTTGAAAACCAAAATAAGAAATCCGGGTCGTCAGTCACAAATAACTGACTTTTTTCCAGTGAAACAGTAAACTTTAATCTGTACATATATATGTATGTACATATATTATGTAAATACATACATATGTACTACTACATGTTTCATAATTTTCGTTTTTTATTCAAAAACCATAGATATTAGGGCGTTTATGTAACGTATAACCCATTTTTAAAAATGAATGAATAAATGCTCATTCACAAAAAGGTACATGCATTTGTAGTTTTTTATTGATAACTCGAAATTTTCGTGTGTTAAATCTCAGTTCGACTGTATGCGGTTGAGTATGCTCACCTTCAAGCTCTTATGCACCGGGTGATGCATAACGCTGCTCGGCAAAGTGTAGTAGCTCACGAAGTCGGTGATGCGACCCCCGTTCTCCACCACAAAACTGTCTATGATGTTGGGCCGGGGCAGGAACCAATGCACGAAGTCTTCTTTGGTAAATTCGGGCGCCAGGTCGAACTTCTTGAGGTACTACCCGTTCGAAATTAACGAAATTAATAAAAAAAAAAATTGAGGAAATCTCCCCCCCCCCCCATCTCACCTCTTGCATCAGTTTGTGGGTCTCGTCCACGTCCTCTGCCTTCATCTTTCGGAAACCCGGTGTCTTCGGCTGATCCGGCAGCTTATACAACTTCAGTGTGCGCTGCATCGTCATGTTGCGCGACAAGTGTGAAAACTTAACCTAAAAAAAAAGACATTCGTTCTGTCAAGATCAACCGAAGGTCATTGACAAAGAAAAGGCGTAATCGTTTTTTAGACTTGCCTCGATCAGTTTTTTCGGGTTTAAAGACCTGTGCCAATAAGTACAGGTTGACACTGGTTTCGGCAACACTATGCCAGCCGTGTAGACCGCTTGAAAGATGCCCTGCAGGTGGACTCGACGCGTGATCTCTCGGATGAGAACGGGCGCCACCCGTTTTGACCTGAGCTTCTTGTGCACGCAGAGGAAGTTGATTTCGACCATCCGCTGGCTCCTGAAAAGTACTGGGTGCGATTAAGGGCGCCGCGCACCTACAGGTGGAATTATTTTACTTGGTGTAGATGTTGAGGGTGGCTGGTATGGCCGATATAAATCCGACCAGTCTGCCGCTCTTGACCACCCTCACGCCGCAATGCCAGTCCTTTTTCCACCCCGGCGGCTGCAGCGCCCTGCCCAAATCCACTTTAGTAACACAGATTAATGGAAATTGTGCTGAATGAAAATTTTTTTTTTTTGGATTTCCTTGGTCTCTATTATTTACCATTTTTATACTATTTAGACCAGTTAAATACTTCCAGTCGTCGTCCAACACCACAAAACATCATCAAAACCTTGGTTTATAAAGCTCTCAGTTCAGAAATTACATTAAAAATAGAAGTCGAAAATGTCAACCTTTACAAGTTTGTGGGAAAAACGAAATACACCCTACCCTACCCTACTTCCTATATTATCCTGCCATCAGAAGGACACGCCATAAGTATTCTGTATATTGATATATTGTAAGTACCTGGAAGTGAGTTAGCGAAGTCAAAAACACCTCTATTTCTTAAATATTTCTTAGATTAAGTGGCCAAAAAATATTGACACACACAATTCAGGAAATTAGCTCAAAATGTTGCTTTAATAACCATTCTCAAATAATAAAAATGTTTGGAAACCATCTCAGTACCAACAAAGTCAGCGCGGACCGGGCCATAGGAAATTTCAATAACCTTATTTGGGATTAATTAGATTAAAATAACCAAAATGACCACTTATTTTTTCATTTTTACCACTTTTTGGACTGTAGCAACTACAAATAGGAGTTTTTCGTTTCCTGCGGTTTTTTTTTTACATCTGGTAATGTTTGTGTTATATGGTATTAAATGCTTTATTTTTCATAAAATTTATATTTCTCAAAAACAAGATGAAAGAGACAAACATTTTTTGTCACTTTATCCGAAAAAAATGTGGGTTAGTTAATATAGGGTTAAACAAGATCCTTACCATTTTAAAAACTCAGGCTGATAATCGAATCGGAACATTGAGTCGTCATCTTCGACATAATTCTCATTCAAGAGTGTGTACAGCTCTTTCAAAACGAGGGGCTCATCCAAATTGAGAGTGTCCCACATGAAACCGTCCGGCAACGAATAGGACTCCGCCCTAATCTCGCCCATCTCCTTGTCAGGCTCTATCGCTTCATTGGCAGTTATCTTTTCATCTGAAAACGACCCGTCAAGTTTACATATTGAATGACTCCGTCAGATAATTTCAATACCCATTTTCGGTACAGGTTGGGTATTCCAGAACTGGTAGTTCTTCTTCAGCGCTTCCTCGGGCGTCTTGGCTGGTTTTTGGGACATAGTAAACACCTCCATCGCAGCCTTTAGGTCCCTTATGGAAATTGTGTTCAGCGGGCTCGTCGCACTATTGTTCATTGTCATCGCGTTGTCGTCCACGTTTTGCATTTGCGGCACCACTTCCCTAGTGGCGGTGTCGCTGTCCTCCCTCTTCTCGTCGGACTTTTTCTTGTGCCGGTTCCTTTTTTTAGAACTACGCAAACGCTAATTAGAGTAGAGTTTCTCGAACTATATGCAATATTCGTATAAAAAATGGTATCGTTGAAAACATAGAAGTCCTATAGTGGAAAACATAATCCCACAATCGTGGGCACTTTTACACACGTTTTTTTTTTAATTGTAATGCGCGTACCTCTTGATTGGAGCATGGTTTTCCACATTGCCGTCTACTGTCGAATTACTTTCAGCCTTATCCGGTAAAATGCCCTTCAATTTTTCCGACATTTTACCAATTCACTAATGGGGTGACGGTTGACGGCCGCCCGAATGACAAGGCAGACGTCGGGGACCACTGACCACCGAAACGCGCTCCGCGGTCCGCGTCCCGAGTGTCACGTCCGCGTGATGCTATGGTACGATCGTCTAGAAAACTGTCACAAGGACCGTGTTCGTGTGCGTTATCCGTTTTTGTCGTATTATTAGCGGCGTATCGTGTTGTTTTGTTTTCATCTCGCGCATCTTATCTGCGAAAAAATGGTGTTATCTCCGTAACGGGCGGTCCGCAGCCAGGTTTCCTGCCGTAAAATCAGAGTGAGTACGAAAGCCCGTGCGACAACTTTCACCCACGGATTTTGACGTTTGTCCCCCTTTTTTTTTCTCTTTTAACTTGCGCCGTCTTCGCGCGCCCCTCGGGCCGACCTGAACCGCGAGTCTTGCTCGTCAGAGCCGTTTCTTAACAACTGTAAACGCGCCCTCTGAAAATGTAAACGTTCGGGTTCCTATTAAATGAGCCTGGGCGGCGGCGGTACACCGTTCACCCTTGTACCGATTTACCGACTCGCGACAGCCGTGCTATATCGAGGACGTTTCTCCGTATTTATCGGTCCGTTGATAACGACCGAAAAATAAAACGCGACGGCGGCGATTTTCGCTTTTCATTTGTTTTCGATTTCGGTGCCAAAAGTGTGCCGCCGCTCGGTTACGAAATTTTGTCGCGTTCCTCGGCGTACATAGCGACGTTTCTAGCAGAAATGGACAAAACGGACCAGCCGAACTCGATATGCCACATCCAGTCGATCCACATGTACCAGCTGCAGGCGTCAGACCACGAGAAACTTGTTCCGTTCGCTCTGCTGACGGGCGAAACGGCACTGTATGCCGGAGTCTCCGTGGACGGTCTTATCGTCGTCACCAACTACAGACTGTACGTGCAGAACGGCGCCAACCAGCACCATATCCCCTTAGGCCTGATCGAGTTCGTTGAGATCAGGGAGCTGTTTTACCTGCACGTGTTTTGCAAGGACGCGCGCACGTACAAGTGAGTCTGTTTTCACGTTTTAATCGCGGGAGGTCTGAAAAATTCGTCAGTATAGTGCTGTCAAGTTGTCAAAATATGACAAGGTTCCAGGAACCGTCCTTGGTCAACATGCAAACGCGCAACACCTCCCGAAACGCTAAAGTGCGAGCAATTGCATTAAGGAAGCGTTATTTCTGGTTGCATGAACTTCATAATATCACATATAGGTGAAAGAGGATAAAAAATAGAAAAGGTAAAAATGATCGAGAAATTCAGATCCAGACGGCGTATAAAATTTTTTTCTTTTTTTTTTTTAATGAAACAGTGAAGAAAATATTTTTGTACCAGTTTTTGATTATTTCATTAAGATTAAGTAATATAAAATTAAATTTTAAGAAGCACTTGAAGAAGCATTACAAGACCTTTTTAAATGTGCCATCATTTTCATAGACGATCATTGTATTCGTGGACAGTGAAGCACAATGTATATCATTAGCACTAAATAAAAAAGTTATTGAATATAACAGTCCAAATTAGACTCTAAAGGTCCTTACAGTTATCGAAAACTATTCCAGTAAGACGCCTCTGTGCTTTTTGTTGGAACAAACTAATGTTCTCTTTTTATTGCCGAATCAATTTCTTCGGCAACGCCTCCGCTTTCGGGAACGAGAAAATTGCGACTTTTGCAAGCGATTATCACAATTATATTAAAAAAAAATATATGATAAACAACGCTTTATAATTATTAAATGCGCATCAACCATATCGTTAATATGGTGGTCCTACTACAGTAAAAATTGATGCGCCCCAGTCGCCATTGATATTTTCATAGAGAAGGGGTTGATTTTCCGCGCATGCCTCGACATTTCACATATTAACCTGCATTTGGCGCCATTTTCTTTCAAAATATTGACAATCTGTCATCGGCCATGTTGCTCGTTGGATGCCGCAAAGCCATTGCCTAAAAGCGAATTAATCTCGCGCATGCGCATGTTGAATGGACCTTCTCAAATATAATTTTCATAGTTGCTTTATAAGTTATTGTATTAGGCAACGACTTTAGTGTCTATATGGCGTCAACCAATAAATTTAGAGTAAAAGTACTCCTCGGTTTCAATTTGACATTAAGCTTCGGCAAAAAAGTTGAGGTTTTTTTGCATTTAAATTCGATGTTTGTAGATTATTTCGTTTGTCGTGTTTGATTCACTGGAATCTTGTGGGGGCGGCTTTTTGCAGGTGCACGTTTGAGAACAACGAGAACGCGCTTGAGTGGTACGACAGGATATCGAAAGTTGCGGAGCCGCCGCGTCAAATCGAGCAGCTGTTCGCGTTTTACTATTGCGTCTGGTCGAAGGAGCGCGGCGGGCAAGAGGTTGCCCTCAAAATCGAAAACCAAAAGGTGTACACTTTCGACAAGCGGATGTTCGAAAGCGAGGTGAGCGGCCGGCGCTTACGTCGAGTTTTCAATAAATATATTTCAAATTATTATAAAGTAATAAAGTATCCACGCTCTACTGCACAGAATTTTGTAACCAAAATACTCTGTTTCCAAGTAGTTTTACTTTTGGTGACCTATTATGGGCATTTTTGAAATTGCCGTCGTTTTATTCAGGTTATCCCAAAGTAATAAATGTGTTAAAGTTGTATTTTCAAAAGGAACCCGAACCGAAGGTTTTTAAGATATGCCGAATTTTGTCAAAATGTTATTTTTTTTAATTTATTTTCATTATTTATTTTTATCCTTGGCATTACTACCGTTATACCGTTTTTTCTTTTTTTTTTAAATGATTTTGAATGTGCCACAATTTGCAGCTATAAAATGGCTGTATTCACGAACCAAGTTTTAGCCACCTTAAGTTCTTATTAGATTAGAATACATTCTTCTGCTCCCTCTATAACATGGGATGGGAAGTTTTTTATAATTATGATATGAAAAAACACTTCACTGCAAAAAGAACTACTTAAATGTTCGACAAACTGAAACCAAGTTGCATTTTGACAAAATTGAAATTATTTAAGAAACAGCATTAATAAAATATAACTTTCATACATTTCGCAATTTTGGTTAGTTTAGTTTTTGAAAATAATTTTAGAAACCATAATGTGCACGGTGTATTTTGACCACAATATGGTCCGTCGTATGTGGTGAATAAAATAAATGAATTATTTAATTTTTAATTATTTATGACAGGTTATAATGAAATGTATTAATTGATTATAATTAGTAAAGATAAGTATCAGCATAATGCAGAAACGACAATGTGGGTCAAATACTGACAATGCATATTGATTTTTTTATAATAATGTATTATTATATAATACAATTATATAAGTATTTAATAACAAGTTAATTTTTATTATGTTCTATCTTTTCTCATTTATTTGGCATACCTTCTTAAATTGGCGGAATTTTCTTTAACTAAGCGAACCTTTTGCGAGCTCGCGAGCGCGTTTTTCTTTTCTGTTTATATCGAGATCGAGGGAAAAAAAATACGTGTCTCTCGCAGATGGCCCGGCTGCAGTTCAGCGGCGACTCGTGGCGCATCTCGAAAGCAAACGAGACATACAAGCTGTGCCCGACGTACCCGCCATATTTGCTCGTGCCGTCGTGCATCAACGACGAGGTGCTCGAGAGCGTCTCCAAGTTTAGGAGCTCGCGGCGCGTGCCGGCCGCCGTGTGGAGGTTAGTTTCCCCCCTCTATCCCGCGACTTTTCTAATCGCGTCCGTGTGTGACGATTCAGGCACGCGCGAAACGGCGCCGTCATCGTCCGCTGCAGCCAACCGGAGGTCGGGTGGCTTGGGTGGCGTTCCAAGGACGACGAGGACCTCATCAAGGCGGTGTCGGACGCGTGCAATTTCGATCGGACGCTAAGGGGCGGCAACGCGGGCAGCAGCGACGCCGACTCTTTGCTCTCCCATTCGCCGGGCTCGTTCCACTCGGATGAGTCTCTCCAGATCGCGGGCGACGCTGTAGGCGGACCTCACGACAAGAAGAAAGTGCTCATCATGGACGCGAGGTCGTACACGACGGCAGTCGCGAACAGGGCCCGCGGCGGCGGCTGCGAGTGTCCAGAGTACTACCCGAACTGCGAGATCCAATTCATGAACCTCGCCAATATACATTCCATCCGGAAGAGCTTCCACGCGCTCAGGCAGCTCTGCATGACGTCGGCCGACCAACCCAAGTGAGCGTTCCGCCCCCCGTGATGAACGAACGTTCTTCTCGGAACTGTTCTCATAAGAAAGCAATTCTCTACGAAATTCTTCCTTCGATCTTTAACCCTTCATTTCCGTTTCCAGCTGGTTTAGCCTGTTGGAAGGCACACGGTGGCTGCTGCACATGTCGGGTCTGATTAAGGCGGCGGTGACGCTCGCCGGCGCAGTCGAGAGGGACGCGAGGCCGGTAGTTGTGCACTGCTCAGACGGGTGGGACCGTACCCCGCAGATCGTGGCCCTCGCGGAGCTCCTCCTCGACCCGTATTACCGAACGGTGGACGGTTTCAGGTTGGAAATTTTTCTGAATTGGTTGAAAAAAATTCGGATGTAGTTGAAAAATACGAACACCTGAACCTCTGAATCTAACATCCGGTTTATCTCTATGAGCGGTTCACTTACTGATGCGTTTGAGACGTGATTAGTTATGGAGGCGTTTGTATACAGTCGGTGGTTCCTAAACTGTTAGATAAGTTATTTTGTGAGAGACTTTCGTGGCGTTGCAGGGGAATTCTGATTGATCAACAGCCTTCATTTGTACAGGGTAAATGTACCAGAGCAAATTTACTCACCGACCCACAATTTTTATTGAACGCCTTTGAGGGTCTTGATCAGGCGTTTGGAAGTATGGATTGATATTTTTTCGGGAGTCCCCCAAGGTTCTCACACCGGACCCGTCCTTTTTAACTTGTTTATAAATGATACTGTTAGTGTAGTTTCGAAATCGCAGTGTCTTTTGTTTTGCCGTTGATTTGAAGTTATTCAGGAGGGTTGGATCGCGCGAGGACGCCCTGCTGCTTCATAGGGACATGGACAGTGAACATAAATAAGAACTAAAAGTTCAGATTTTCGCGAAATTTCGTGAAAATCTGAACTTTTAGTTCTTATTTATTTTGGAAAATGGATTTTCATCAAGTAAGAGCCACCTCAGTTCAAACATGGACAGTGTTTGCATGTGGTCTCGGATTTTGTTCGATGTAAAAAAAAAAATGCTGTAGTCGTTCGTTGAGTTGGGTTTACAGCCAATATAGCGTTGATGGAGTCGAGATCGAGGTCATCACTAGTATTAACGACTTGGTGTGTTTCCTAAGTCTTGTGACACATTTTGCAGAAGTGGTACCCAGGTATATACGAGTCGCGCTAGACTCGAGTATGCACCTGTGGTATGGTCTCCATATTATGCCTGCTGTACAGATAACATTGAAACCGTTCAGAAAGTATTTTTAAGATCTTTGGCTTCAAAAATAAATAAATAGAAGTTAAGGAAACATTGCAAAAAGTTTCACCCAGGTGAACAGTTTTTTATTGAAATTTAACTTAACAGCTTAAATGTGGCCTTTGTCAATATAAATTAAGTACTATACAAAGCACCTCTTTTTTTCTGCTTTTCCTAAATACAGTTTAACAAAATGCATTGTAGGAATCGGGCTTGAAAATGAAAAGTACAGTAAGGATCTGTCAATAACGGTTTAACCCACCTTTTCAATTCGCCCTGTCTATTTTTGTAGTATTAACCAACAATGTATCTTAACAAACGCCCGCTCTGAACTCTATTTTCTTATAGTAGAATAAATTTTAAAAATTGCTACATTTTTAGGTAGATTTTTTAAAGCAAATGTATACGACTGGCGCTGTATAGGGCCGCTGCTGACGGTGAACATACCGGTATGTTCCCGACAATAAAGCATTTGTGACTCCGTTAATGGTTTTTGCGATTTCTGGTCTCTGGAAAATTGCGCCAGAGCAGAGCAGTATCTTTAATGTAATCCATTTTATTAAATGTTATTAAATTGAAAGCAATACATATGAAATTAGGAGCTAATTGTTGAAAGTATATTGTTGGAGTTTTACAAAGGAACATATTTAGATCACCAGCATTTTTTCTTCAATATTCCTATTTGTTTAAAGCAACATAAACCATTGGATTGTAAAATAGTCATTTCCTATATCTATGTGTTTACTTATTCCGGCTGCGGAACTGGGAATTCCTCTCATAGCACGAGTTTCGCTTCAATAATACCGATAACAGATTAAGAACTATAAACTGTAACTATAAGAAGAACTCAACTATATTCACTCCAGCAAAGCAATAGTGAAATATACAATTCATCATAGTATTTAAAAGACAAAAAACGTCAATAGAAGAAGAAGAAGTCATTGAATAATTTCATCAACTGATATGAATTTTGGTCAAAAAATTGATTCTTGGAGTTACGCCCTTACGGTCCTCGAAGGAACATGAAAGCTCGGCTGGCTCAGCAACTCGGGGCAATCCACTAACGAATTGTAAAGTTTATATAAAAACTGAAGTGAAAGGTTCAATAGCGAGGGAACCTTAAACGTTATAGTCTAAGAGCCAGTGGGCGACTACCTGCATGTATTTGACCAGACCTGGGCTTTACCGAGTATACATGATGTGGGGACCCGCTAAGCCCAAAGCGGTGGGCCCAGGTGCTGCGCAGGTGAGACAGGTATTGAAATATATTGTTATTATTATCGAAAAATAATAATGGCAGACCATTCGCATGCGGTTAACATTATGGCAGTTTTGGAAATGCTCAAAAAATTAAAATTTTTGAACGTATTTGACCAGATGTGCCGTTGAGATATATTATTCGTTATGGTCTTAAAAGCGTACATTAGTAACATTAATCAGTAGATAACAAAATCCTTACTACTACCCGGACATACACTGCATATAGCTATCTTTTTTCTTTCTCCTATGTATTACTATTCTACTCATTCCAGCTTATAGTATTTTATTTTATAGCTACTACCACTTAAATAATTTAGGGTTTATACCTGTTATAATCCCAACTTAACGGTTTTTGTCAGACGTTTTCAGTATGTTTGTGAATCTTTAGTGAATTTAATAAAATACACAGTGGTGCTTTATGTTATTTTTCTTTAATTAAATTATTATTCGTTAAATATCTCTGCCATTATGTCGAGTGAAAAAGAACTAGTGAAGTATGGTTTTTGTACCACAGCAGAGGCTGTTGACCAATTTGGAGGTTATAAAAACATATAAATTATAATACATTGAAATAATTCTACCAGACCAGACGGCTTTAAAAAAATGCAACCGATCTCAACAAAGAAGCTGTATTACAACCCGCTACGTCGTCGTCTGCAACTGAGCAACCATCAACATTAGTTGATAGCTCAATAACTGATGATACAATAGTACTTGATAATCTTGTAAAAGACGTAAACGTTTCTGAGACAGATGCAGTCGTAGAAAAAGATATTGGCGCTGAATTAGATCAGTGGTTGGAGAAAGGACCCTCTGTAGTACCGTGAGCACTTACAAAGCTTCGGATGTGAATAAAAATTTGTAGTAAAAAGATACACAATTTTGACGCAACCTCGATACTACTATGCAAGAATGAACTCTACCAACAACTTCTGAGAGCCCATTACATTTCAACTATTTGGAAAAACGCTTACAAAAAGCAACCTTCAACCTTGGGCCCATTGGAGTATGCTTGGCTTGAGCAGGACAACACATTTGTCTTTAAATGGTTCGTTGGAGATATCAACTTCCATCTTTTATTAGCGACACTTAATTACTAATGTCCCTGGTAAGTTGATAAAAATTAATTCTTGATCAAATATGTTCGGATCAATTTACTAATTATTTATACTTTACAATTTACGATTTATTTTTACATAGTCCGATTCAATGGACTATGAAGAAGAGTTGACCTACGACCAACATGACTACGACACCTTTCAAATTTTGTCTTAAATAAATTAAAAAAAAAATTGAAATACGGAATTGAATTGTTTTTTGTTACTTGCATTATACCCCAAGATTTCAGATTATTTCGTAATATATCTACTTCATTTATCATCACTCTTATAAAGTTTAGTATATAAAGTACAGAAAAGGTATTAATTTCTATACATATAGTGATCAAAATTAATTTTAAATGAGTTAAATTTATGTAAAACAGCGATCGTAACACATATTCATCTTATCGGGTAATAGTAAAGATTTTGTTATCTAGTGAGGAGTGTCCTCAATAAAAACGTCTGCCGTTATTAATGTACGCTTTTAAGGCCATAACGAATAATATATCACAATGGCAGATCTGGTCAAATACTTTCAAAATTTTATTTTTTTGTGCATTTCCTAAACTGTCTGCCATAATGTTAACCGCGTTCTAATGGTGTGCCATTATTATTTTTCGACAATAATAACAATATATTTTAAGATTTCAAAACGGCAGCCGTGGTCAAATATATTTAAAATTCGCCAAAAATCAATTCCTGTCTCACCTGCGCAGTACCTGGGTCCACCGCTTTGGGCTTAGTGGGTCCCCACCTCATGTATACTCGGTAAAGCCCAGGTCTGGTCAAATACATGCAGGTAGCCGCCCACTGGCTCTTAGACTATTAGTAATAAATCACATGAAAGTGAAGAAATGTCAGAAACTTTCTCTGTAGGTTTTCAATTTGAGTGATGTATTGCCGTCGAATCGAGCGCACCTAGCTATAGTATAATAGTTTTAGCGTGGATATTGTTAGTTTGAGTGGAATATTGCAGGGTTCTGATCGAGCGAGAGTGGCTCGCGTTCGGCCACAAGTTCGCCGATCGTTGCGGCCACTCGGGCGGCAGCGACGACCAAAACGAACGTTGCCCGGTATTCCTCCAGTGGCTCGACTGCGTCCATCAGCTCGTCAACCAGTTCCCCGTTTCGTTCGAGTTTTCGCAAAACTACCTGATCAAGCTCGCGCAGCACACCTATTCCAATCTGTACGGCACGTTCCTGTGCAATTCGCAGAAGCAACGCGCGAAAATTGTGGCCGGCAAAACGTTCACCGTGTGGGAGTTTTTGAACGGAGCGCGGTTCCGGAACCACCTGTACGGCGCGCCCACCACGCCGTCGGGCCGCGTCCTCTGGCCCAGGACGAACGTGCGCGACCTGCGCCTCTGGTCCGAGGTCTACCTCGGCTCCATGGAGGCGGCGAACGAGGGGGGCGACGCGTGTCCGGGCCCGCCGCCCCAACACCAGCCCAACATGGGCAAGACGCGATCTTACGGCGATCTGATGAACGCGGACGCGTGCCGCGCCTTCGGCGGCGGAGGGAGCGCGACGGGAGGCAGGCGCAGTAGCGACCCTAGCGTCAACAGAGAACCGCCGTGAGTTTTTTTTTTTGCCTGTTGGTCCGGGTTGCGACTGTCATTATCATATAGCAGACGCTAATAGTACAGGAACTCGCGAGGCAACTATGTAACAAAATTTTGAGAAGGTCTGTTCAATATTGAAACTTCGTTTTTAACCAATAGCAGCTCTGATTTTTGTATTTTTTGACGTTCGACCCATAAGGCCTTGCGGCTTCCGACAACCAACACGGGCGCTGGCAGGTCGTCAATGTTTGGATGGCGCGTTTTCCCGAAAAGTGACGATAAACGAAAACCTTCCCACATTTAGTTTTACAACGTTTTGTAATTTTCAAGGGGTACTTCTTGTAATTTGTTCTAGTAAAACTCGCAGCTTGATGGTTTTCCTTATATTTCCTGTAATTCTTTTACACTAAAACATATTACCCAAAAGTCTTCCCTAGCTACTTAAGTGCACTTTGCAATTTGTAAAATCACTCAGGTTTACCCGTATTTAGACACATTCTTTTCCTTACAGTTTTTTCTACAAACACAACAAGTTGTTCACAAAAACACGAAAAAGGTACGGATTGAATCATAACCACCGAAAATGTAAACAACAACGGCACAGACTGTTAGTATTCTCTAGCAATAGCAATTGCTAGCGCGACGTTGCCAATTATATTCGGATTTCAGAGACTGACTTTGAAATGACCGATGAAAATTAGTCAATAATATAAGTATATATCCACTGGCGGGAAAAACATGTAGGTCACTCAGGAAATTACAAATATTTGCAAATATAGCTACTAGAGATATAGAGGGCATCCCTATGTCGATAGTACAGAAACTTATGGAACAACTATGATTTTTTTTTGAGAATTTAACATTTAAGAAGTTTTAAAATCTCGTTTTCAACCAATGATCTTGCAGCATTCAATAACCAACATGCTCGCTGACAGATCTCCTCAATAAGTTTGAGTGCGACATTTCTGAAGCTTCGTCAGAATTTTAAATATTCTATATAAAATATACCAACAATTTTCGTACGCTCCGTTATTCGAAGGAATTGATATATACCATTCAAATAAAATTACCAAACAAAACAAAAATAAACTGCTTCATAAAGTCCAAAAACCAATAATACATATTTGATTTTTTTTCTTTCTTGTCATAATTGCATTTATTGTTTTTTAAGAAAAATTAAATTAGATAGTTTAGATACTATTAAATATTTCTGAAAATGAAACAAAAGACAAATTTTATGATCCAGAAATATACAGGCTATTTCATTAAAAAAAAAACAAGTTTTTTTGATCATTCAGAAATTTTTAATGTGTAAAATTACAACATTACTGCATTCTATCGTTAGTTTACGAAAAAGCAGCACATTGTCACGGCAATTGCAACTATAAACTATAAAAATAAAGGAGATACCATTAAAAACTACCCAAAATGGGACATCCTGTACTTCTCCACCGTTTTATCGCTGTTTAGAAAAAATGGTTTAATGGTGGCTGCATAAAATTAAAAGATAATCATTTTAATTTCATTTCAGTTATGCAGAGTGTATAATTAAAATATTATATTTCGTGACTATCACAATTTCAAATATTATAAGCCACAAGTTATTGGAATTAAAAAAATTCTCGTAGAGTAGAATGAGTTTCCTAATAAAAAATTTTTAAAATATATTTTATAGTAAATTTTTATTTCGGCAAAAAACTTATTAGAAACCTTTAGGCCAAAGCGGTAATGTTGGTCATCAACGTGTTATATATCTGGCATAGCTGTAGGTTCTATCGAGATATCTATTTTTTTCCAAACAACAGATTCACAAGGTTCCAAGCTGCCGTGTAATGGTGTCTATATCCCAATGCTGCTAAAATTCTTATAACGCTTCTTTGTAGCTCAAATATCCTGCTCAACTAGGGTTGTCCTCTCTTTTCCTGGATTAAATCATTTTTTAGTAATTCTGTTTTTATCATTTCCAAAATATAATGACTGCAAAACACTGCTTTCTTCTTAATAATTATAAAAATATATGAATATAGTTTTTTATTTAAAATGACTGCGCAGGAACGTACCGCCGCAGGACCTGGTCCTTAACCACAACCACGACGCGGGACCGGACTTTTTGCCCAGCGACCTCGATGACAACCCCACGGAATGTACCCAGGACTGCATGTTCAACGGCGTCGCAGCGCGCCATCACCAGCAGAGCCTGACCGATGACCAGATCGATTGCCTCGACTTCGGCGGGTTAACCACGCCTCCGCCCCCGGCGGTCATCCGGATGTCCGAGATCACAGATCACATCGCGGCTATGACGGAACGCCTCACAGAATGTCCGATTTTTCCGGACGTAGTCGGGGGCGGCAGCGAAGCGGACGACGCCGATGATGACACGTCGGACGCGACAACAACGCGCAGCGAGCGCGGTTCGAAGAGCGATCGCGACGTCGAGCTCGACGAGTTTTTCGAGAACAACAACAACTCGTCATCGTCGTCGTCGGATGTAGGCGTTGAGGAGGCGGCGGCCGCGTCAGCCTCTTGCAACGGCGAGCTCGTGAGGCGGGCGCTGGATCTGGAGCGATCGGTCGAGACCAGCACCGAGACGTTGGTGTCTGAGCATGTGGCGTGCGGGTGAGTCGTCAAGTAGTTCAAAGGTACCGTCGGCTATTTGGGGTTCTAAGGGGCCAATACGGGAAAACGGGCGGCTGTATTCCGATGTAACAAATGGCGATTAGTTCAAATGTACCGGTACCCAATACTGCGGATTAGTTCAAACATGCTGTCGGATATTTCGCGTTTGCGAAAATCGGAAAACGAGATAAATGACCATGTAGTTGAAATGTACACGTGCAATTGTACGTTGCCGTTATTTCCTTTTGCGCAATTTCGGTAGGGAAGTCATTTGAATTTAAATTTTAAGAAGACAATTTTAAGTTTTTAACTTTTGTAGTTGGTAGTAGTTGTAAAGCAATTCTGCAAAATACAGATCTTTATATTGATAAAATAAACGTGTAACTAGAGACAGCGATGGTCTAGTAATACCGAAACATAAGGCGATATTTTTTTCACGGACGGGAATCTCGGGAGAGAGAACTTAACTAAATTAAAAAAAAAAACAAATCGTTCTATACTTGCAGAACATGGTTTTAGTTTTTAATAGTCAGTTTTAAAGTGTTTTAGGTTTATAATTTTTAGATTTAATGCATAAAATTTAAAATTGTTTAACCTTTGTAAACCAATGAATCTAGTTGCTGTTCTGGTTGTCTGCACTTGCGTGGGGCTGGGCACATCGTGTTTTTCTGTGTGACGTTGCTTTTTTTGCAGAGACTTGTTTCTCTGTAAATTTTTTTGGCACTAAAATACTCACTTACTTACTAATTTACTGAGTAATAACCCACGGGACTCGGAAGTGTTTACTTAATTATAATAACGGCGAGGAATCAGGTAGTTCGAACGCAAATCTGCGATTCGAAGGTTAAACGACAGTAACCCTGTTCAAACGCACCGTTTTCCGTTCTAGTTGTTGTCGTTTAAAAAATATTTTTTCGAAAATGTCGTCCTTATACAGGTCGTCACCGAAAGAGTACAATGGCTTCGAGAAAATCCAGAGTCCACGGCCGCGGACCGTAGACGAACCAATGGGAGGCGCCTGCGACGTGTGCGCGCGGAGCGCAAAAAGCCCCACCGGAACGCTCGCGCACGCACGGCGGTTCAGCAGCTGCGCACTCGGCGAGGACGGCCTGATGCCGCTGCGGTCGCCCGTACAGGAGCGGCTGGACCAGATCCTCGAGGAGCAACGGGTGAGTGTTTTTCGGGAAATAGCGTCCGCCGTGTTGTCACGTGAGACTCTCTCTTTTGCAGCGGAAGGTGGAGCTTTTGGAAAAGGAGCTGCACGCGTCGCGCCAGATCCTCATCAGGCAGGCATGTCACAAGTGTCACCGGAGCGGCGACGGCGAGAAGCACGACGACTCGGTGAGTCATTATGCCAAAATAAAAATGTTGCGAGAAAATCGTTAAAAAATATACTTAGGTTTGTAGGTGTAACACGTTTGGCGAATAAATATCTCTTAAAAAAAATCGTTCTGGTCAATTAAAATAAAACAGTGTTAATAGTCCGGTCTAAATAGACATATCCATTAATATATTTTATCAGAAATGAGATTTGGAGGCGACCCGGAGTACACCACTGGAAATACAGTCCCAACAGTCTGCACTATTCCCATATGTGCTACAAAAGTCATTCAGCTCATGTATTCTACGTTATATGCACGTACATCCATAGTGTGATATTTAATATAAATAAATAAATGAAAGCACACAGGAATCGCAAAGGGTCTCACAATATAATTTATGAAGAACTATAATTAATGAATCGTGGGATGATTGTCGAGAGATCCGGTACAGAATTGGAAAGGCTAAAAGTGCTTTCTTGGCTATGGGTCAAGTATTCAAAAACCACACCCTGTCACTGGAAGTAAAGAATAAGCTCCTAAAGTGTTACAGGTACTCGGTTATTCAGTAGGGTGGGGAGACCGAAGGTTACTAATGAAAAAGTGTTACGGGGAATGGAAATAGTCAACATCTCAAAACTTCAATATCTGGGTCACATCATGGGGAACAAAGGAAAATATGAATTACTCCAATGTATCCTTCAGGAAAAAATTTCAGGAAGAGGACGCAAGAGACTCTCTTGGCTGGTCAATCTTCGTGCATAGTCTGGCAAGTCTGCCTCACAACTGTTGATGATCGCCAACATTCATAGCGGACAGGCCAAGAAATAAACGTAGAATTAATAAAGGCTTTTGGCATTCTATTTCTACTGGTGCATCCCAGGTTTCGCTCTGTCACTCCAAAAAAAAAAAAAATCCACGTCTTTCGTTTTCTCTTGTGATCCAAACAAGTTTATTTGTTTAGTGGAGTGAATCGGAGGGGGCGTCGTCACGCGAAGGGGGCTCCATTAGTCCCATCCTCGTTTGCCCCCGGTGACTAGTAGTCCCGCGACCCCGTTTAAAAAGAGTAGGTTTTTTCTTTTGTTTTTGCGACATATTTTTGGTTTCGTCCCTCTCCCCCGCCAACTAATATCAACGTCGTTTTTTTTTTTATTATTTTTTTGTAAAAGAGACGACGTCGCTTGTCCGTAGGGTTCGGTGGTCGAGTCGCTGGGGAGCACAGGCGAGGGGCAAGCGTCCGCCGCCGGCGAATCGCTACGATCCGATCTGTCGTGGGTGGCGGTCGAGGAGGGGGCGGTCGCCGAGTGCCAGGGCACCCTTTGGGTACCTGACCACGCGGTGAGCCGCTGCACCGACTGCGGCACCGAGTTTTGGCTGGGCCGCAGGCGCCACCATTGCAGGTGAGACGGCTTGCTTGGCATTTGCAACACATGATTTTTAATTTAATGATTTTAACGGTACCCGGTAATGATTTTATATCGTTCAGTTTTGGTTATTGAATTATTGTCCACGTTGGCGTTCAGGTGACATTGAAGGACATACGGGCAAATATCTAAATATTGAAGAGATTTGAAGAGTTTTTCAATCCATTAACCTTTTAAACAGAGTAAAAGGTTTGTGTGGTTGTAAATTAAAAGCTGGCTTTTCGGGTGTGCGCCCGAGGGGGCAGATGGCAATTTTTGAAATTATAGGCGCGCCTGACGTTGCAGGAAGTGCGGGCGTATTTTCTGCGCAGACTGTTCAGAGAACTCGACGCCGCTACCGTCAGAGCAGCTCTACAATCCGGTGCGCGTGTGCACCAGCTGCTACACGGAGCTGCGGGAGACGGGAGGCGGCGCCGCCGCCGCCGCAACTTCAAGGGCGACGACCGGCACCGACGTACCCGCGCGGTGTAAGCACGGCGGCGCGCAGGGGACCGCCCCCGGGCCCCACGCCCGGATTGCGGCATCAAGCAACTAGACGGGAGAGTGACCACCCTCAACAAGTTTTTGGATAAAATTTTGCGTGTGAAAAAGGGGCGGAGGCGTGTTTTTGAACGAGGCGGTAGATTCAAAGACCCTCTCTACTGTATTAAATCGATTAAGTCCCAGGATGAATGAGAAAAAAAAAACGGCTCCTCCCCCATTCCCACATGTCGTACTTTTTTTTCACCGTGGAGAAGCAAGCAAAAAAAAATTATACGGATCGTTTCTATGTTAACTTTTGAATAGTGCATTTAAATTTTAGGGTACCGTACGTAGGCGAGTGAGTATATGAGGTACATTGTATACACACACCAGATGTACTTTGCTATTTTAATTGCAAATAAAAAAAAAGTATTTAATTAATAAAACGGAACGCGGTGCTTTATTGCCGGCGACGCACGTTCACATAAAAAGTTTTCCAAAATACGCCGCGGGAGAGAGACGTAACAGACAAGCGCGGCGGTAGTTAAAATGAAGAAACATGTGAACGAAATTACGCGCAGGAATATGTTGATGACGTGTGAAAGTTGCTTTAGGACCCACAAACCCACAAGGTTGGTGCTGTATTTTGACTAAGTTTTTACATTACAAAAAATTTTGAATAGCTCAAATAATTTTAATTAATTTTATTCGAAAATACCGATTTACACCAAAAGGACAAAAACAAGTACTTCAAATCAAGTTCATTAATGCTAAAGATAGAAAATTTTTTTATTAAAACATGACTAATATAAATAAACAGTATGACGGTACATAGATAGAATTTAGATGTTTAATTTGAATCTAATTTCAAATAGATTCTTGATCAAAAATATATTTTTTTAAATAAAAGTTTCTAAAATGTCCTATTTGTCCTGTTCTAAATTGTCTCCGAGCTTGAGGTAATTTTTGGTTATCAAATCATTTTTTGATTTAAGTTATCAATTAAATAAGACATTTTTTTACCATTTTAATATTTTACTAATCAAAATACGCTATTCACTATTACTAAATTATACAGTTTTCTGAAAATAGGAAAAAAGGCACCCTTCATAACGAAACTATAACTATTATTCAATAATCTTCCTGGTTAATGCATCTGGTAGGAAGAAAGTCATTGTGGCGCAAAACCACAACACAAATAACAATATTTCACTCTATAACAAAGTCACGACACGTAAAAAAGGAAGCGATAAATGGGGTTACTTTTATTTGCACTAAACACTATTCTCCTTGTACCTGGGCGACGTCCAGGATAACCTTTCCTCATAAAATTTGATTACCACCTGAGGACACTTGACGTTGGCCTGTTTGGCCGGAACGAGATCGGCCTCGTCGGTGCCAACCCACTTCATCAGAAACATCAAGGGACCTTCAACATAATGAGGTAAAAGGACCTGCTAGGTTGACGAAATTGTTAATTTACCAGAACTGTCCGTAGCGCCGATAATCTTTTCCGGCTCCAAACCTCGATCGAAACCGTGTGGTTTCTTATCGTCCGCTTTGCCTTTTTTGCCGGGTTTGGAATCGGGTGTGGGAGTGCTAGTACTTTTCCGTTTTTTGCTCCGTTCGGCATCTTTGGCGGCCCGATCCGCCTCGAAAGCTTTTATCAAACTCGGACAGTCTAAGTTACCTGAAAGTTTAACCGTATAATGCATGGAATTTATAGAATACCGACAAACTAACTTTCCGGTTCCCAAGTGTTGTCTTTGTCATCATAACCTATCCATTTAAGCAAGTACTCTTTGACGCCGTTTTTGTTTATGCGGCAGTCAATTATTTTCTCCACGACGTATTCTTCGGGGGCTTCGTTTCCATCGGACGTGCCCTTTTTCGAACTCATTTTCTTTCGCGCTATTGTAATGTTCGTCAGTTGGAAGTTGCCGCTAAAACAGGAAGACGCTCAAAATGGCATGCGACGCAGAACCATTGTTCAACTTTTAGTTGGTCAATTGGGCGTGGGGCAAGTATGCTCCCGCCCAAGTCAAAAGGTATGCAAGTTCGGAATTTGAGTTCGGTAATACGTATGCCAAGCTCGCGCGTCGAATTTCCACGTCCCCGCTAGTTACTGTGGAGTAGAATCTAACAGTAAATCGTTCTGTGAAAATTTCCCCATCTAAACGGTAATAACTCTTGTTATCTATGCGGCTTTGGAATTTATTGATTGTTTGGGGAACGTATTTATCCTAAACAGTTTTTCTCATACTAGAAACTCTTTATCGCTTTTGAGGTCCGTTTCGTAAAACTAAGAAAGTGATCCCCGATTACAATTTGCGGTGAGGCCACCCCCTAATTCGTCTTATATGCTACGGAAAAAACTTGGGCTTTATTCACAAAGGTTCGCGTTTTTAGAGTTTAACAAACCCGCGTACGCCTCGATATCCGTCCGGCAATGAGTACGAGCAAAAGAAACAGTCCGGTTCCACCTGCGGAACCGGTGGCCCCCGAGGAATACGTCGTTGAAAAAATCATTGACAGTAGGATAAAGGAAAATGGTGTGAAGGAGTACTTTTTAAAGTGGATTGGTTACGACGATAAAGACAATACGTGGGAGCCGGAAGAAAATTTGGACTGTCCTGGATTGATCGCTGCGTACGAAGCGGAAAAGGCAAAAAAGAAAGAAGCAGACACTAGGAAGCGGCGGATAAGCGGTCAGGAGAAGGAGAACAAAAATACAAAAGCGAGAAAGGTTGAGGAGAAAAAGTCGCTCGGTTTCGACAGGGGTCTCGAGCCCGAGAAAATAATCGGCGCAACCGATAGTCCTGGTAATATATTTTATGGTGGCATAGGAATGGGAATGGTTGTGATTTATTTGATTGCAGGTCAACTGATGTTTCTGATAAAATGGGCGGGGACGGACGAGGCGGATCTCGTGCCCGCGAAACAGGCCAACGTCAAGTGTCCCCAGATAGTGATCAAATTTTATGAGGAGCGTTTGAAATGGCATCCGTCTTCGCAAACTTTAACAGAGTCGCGTCCCGCAGAATAAATGTCAAGTATTTTTAGGTTATGTTTAACATGGTCAGCATGGAGGGGGGCGTCTATATCCTGTTTGCTAGCGAAGAGGACAATATTTTTCTCGTGGGTTTTAAAAGTCTTGTGATGCGAGAATCACGCCCTACCTCCCATGGCAATAATTTTTAGTGTAAACATGTTTCCCCCTCTCTTCCCATAATGTGCATCTTGTGGTGTTTATTTCAAATAATTGCATCCAGTGAACCCTAATGTGGGATATAATTACTTAAACTTTAGTAGTGTACAAACTTTTTGTAAAATTTTTATTTGGAAAGATGATATTAAAACTATTTTAATGCAGGTTTTTTTTTTTTCGCAAAATTGAGGGGGTTAACAATTACGTTTTAACATTTCCTCACTTTACTAAAAACCATTTAACTATGCGTATATATTAATACACGAACTTATGAAGCAACTATGAAAAAAAATCAGAAGATCCATTCAACATGCGCTACATTTAAAATTTCGTTTTTAACCTTGCCCAATTCGACAACCAACAACATAACCGCAAAGAGATAATAATTTTGAATGCGGCATTTTTAAGGCAGTATATTCTCAAACGGGAATACCAGTTAAGTGTGTCTGTGGAAATCGTTTAGGAAGAAAATGACGCAAATGCAGGTTAGTGCCTGCCTGCGACACATCAATTTTACCATAGCACTCTAGTGTTTAAAAGCTGTACGAAAAAACAAATAAAGTAGGCTGTTATGTCACGTGCCGACGTTAATTACAACGCTGGTTTGTACAGGGATTGCCATTTATGTGATATAATAATGACTAACCGAAACTAACCAATTATTTCTATTCAAATAAAATTAATGCCCGAATAATTGTTCGCATGATCATTCGAATTAAATGTTAAGTTTTCGTTTCGGTAGGTCGGGACCGTTACGCTATTGAATCTGAACTTAATCTTAAATTTAAATGAAAATATTATATTATATTTTAAAAGTAAAAAAATAAAATGGTTGACCTATGTTGCATTTTGAAAAAAAAATCATTCACTACATTTCACTTCAGTAGAAAGTTCAATTCAAGTTCAATGATGCGTTTCACAGATAACTGTTGGGCACGACTACCAGGATCATTCGCCCATTGCCGACTTCCGTCGAGGATTCTCGGATCTTCTCCAGGAAGGAGACAGAATATTGAAGTTCTAAATGTCGAGGATTTTCGTATCTTCTCTGGCGAAGAAGACTGATTTTTGAAGTTCCAAATGTCGAGGATTGTCAGATCTTCTCCAGCGAAGGAGACTAAACTTTAAAGTTCCAAATGTCGAGGATTTTCGGATCTTCTCCAGCGAAGGAGACTAATCTCAGAAGTTCTAAATGTCGATTTTTCGGATTTTCCCCCCAAGTCTGCGCTTTAAAATATCAATCTTTGCTTTAATATCTAGTAAAATGTAGCTGTTGGAAGCTTCAACCGCACTGCATCCGAAGCTCTGCAGGGCACTTTTGGAATCGGAGACAACTACTGCCTGTTTAATATTATAATCTAATATAAGATCTAGGGCGTAACTAATAACTACCATTTCTGCAAAGCAAATACAAAACGCGCTATTCAACCCATGCCCGACCCTAACATTGAGAAACGGAATAAATACTCCAAAGCCAACTCTATCATCTGGTCCCTTAGAGGCATCGGTAATTATAAATGTCTCTTCCCATGGGAGTAAAAAAGATTCATTAATCATGACTATATCCGGACCAAAGTCACGAATAAGTCTAATAATACTATCACAATTACTTCTAATACCGCAAGTGTTCCAATGAATAATTGAGAGATTACTAATTTTAACAGAAAGATTTGACTGTCGATCTGGGAACATTCATATATTAAAACCTGCATCCTCCGGGAGGAGGCAGGGAGTCAAAAAGACTCTCAATTTCATGGTAAGCACTTTTACTGGGTATATTGGACAAGACTTTTTTCTTTAAATTTTCAAACCGATACCAAAATTCACCAGAGGAGGAAACCCCTGGAGAAGCAGTGTCCATCTCGGACTCTGACGATAAATCATTTAAATATGAGGGAGAAGATTGACTTTTGCTAGTGTGATTCAACTTCTGCCTAGTCAACGGCGGCACGAGACAATCCCTGTGGGCGTCCCTATCATACCCTGATTCTATTTGGGGGGACTTACGCTTTTTTGCTATGACAGAATAGGTTTTAGAAGCAGATCTAGGGGAAGGCTGAGAGACGGGGGCAACCGTGTTATGAATAGGAGGGAAATTTTCATTAGAGCGATTAAACTCACTTGATTTGGGGCCTCTTGGAAAGAGTTTGGCCGCTTCAAAAAAGGATAAGTTGTACCATGCCATAGCCTCATTGATTTTCTTCTGTCTGTCCATTTCCGGACATGATCTATCAGTGGCCTGATGAGAGCCTTTACAATGGATGCAAGTTGGCTTTGGAGATATTTCGCAATTACCCAGGCTGCATTTACCTTCATGATTTAAGTGGTCTGTCGGGCATGGTTTCTTCTTATAAAACTGTTCTTTCAGTTCACAATGAAATACTGGATGATCTCCAGCGCAGAAACTACATCTACCCTTGCTTTTACATTGGTTTTTCCAATGACCAAACCTGCAACAATTCATACATAAGACAACAGGACTAACATATTTTTCGATTGAACACTCATTTTTATAGATACTGATTGATTCTGGGAGAGTTTTACCATCAAATGTTATTATATAATCATTAGATGGAACTGTCTTGAAACCAAAAGTGCCAGGCAGAACACCTGGGCATTTGACCCTTTTAGTTAGTCTGCGAACATTAACAATCTTAACGCGCTTTAGCGATCTTCCGATGTTAACCTTGGCTTCTGCCTCAGAGTAAAAATCATCCTCATCAATTAAGTCACCAATGTCCCTCACCAACCCTCGGCAAGTGACTAGTCTTTGAGGTATATACTTATTATACCCACCAGCTGTCGAATATGTTTCATTAGATAAAAATTTATTTGCAGACTCAGAGGTGTTAAACTCCAAACCGATTTTATTGGCTCCTTTTCTAGAAATTTTCAATATACCTTGAACTTTCTGCGCTTGAAGTAACTTCCCAAAGTTCATAGGATGAAGAGTCCCCACCTTACTTGTAATCCCCTCCAGAATCACCATAAAAGGCCCCTGGTCGGTGATTTCATATTTTGTTTTCCGATTTACTGTCCTTCTTATGTTTGCGGAGATTTTGGCAACTTCCCGCAGGATTTCAGCGTCTTGCTCGAACTGATTCTTGATAATCTGGATCTCTGCCGATAACTTTGACAACTCTTCACCTGAGGGCACATCAAAATACTGGGGCCTGGAAATATCTTCAGCAGTTTTTTTGCAATCCGGTGGCAAAATGTTACAAATAATGGCGTTCAACGGACGATTTTGAGAATCATTGGATAAACTGTCATTTTCTTGTGCTGCACTAACCGTCGGGGGGCCCTCGCCCCCCGAAGAGTCCCCCATGGTTGAGGTTAGAGGGCCAAGAGGAGGAAACTACCAGCCACAAAAACTGATATATAACTGGATGCGTTAAATGGACTCACCAAATAACAGAAAACAATAAAAATTAGGGCCGATGCCTAAAGATTTGCACAACAATACTCAGGTAGTGTTCACTCCTTCGCTGTTGTACCGAAAAAAACCTTCAGTAGAAAGAAAAGCTGATCTTCCCGAATTCCGGTCAAAACACAAAGGCCTCTTACCAGAAATGTAAAATGAAATATTGATGCATTCCTAGTACTTTCTTCCGTTCCATCCGAGAAATATTTTTATTTACGTTTTTTCTGAAATCCATATTTGTAAGCAATGATCATTAATTTTCTTTAAAAAAATAATATATATATTTTTTAATTTTACAATAACCCAACCATTGGCATTTCAGATAATCTCATTCATTGAATAACTGGAAATAATAATAAATAAAGAGGTTATTTAAAACACCCGTTAACGGTAATTAATCATTCGAATAAGCCCATCACTAGTTTTGTGGTCTGCGGGTAAACTCCCGAAATGGACCGGACTCAGTGGCGGATTTATTTCTAGGTTTACCTAAAAAGTCTGCTGGTTAAAGGTGTCTAACGTAAATTAATCCGCGCTTAGAGGTATGATGACTTTGTGGTGCGGCTAGGCAGTGTATACTAGGTATAAAAAAACATTGTAATGTACCCGAATATTTTTAAGCCTTTTTTCCGGTCGTGCCCGAGCCCGCCGTTCTTGGTGAACGTCGAAGACTGTCATTCTTATATTAACTCGTATATTATATTTTGTGGTTGATATCGGAAACACCATTACCAAAACAATACGAACTGTTGACTATCTAAGATTTAATGTTTCGTATGCGTGAATTTATTTGCAAATAATTTGGATCGCCTTTTATATATCATCAATAATTTTGTTTATGATGAAATGAGACTGATTTTTTGGAATCCTATGAAAGTCCTATACCATTTCCATGTTACCATTAGAAAATTGGATATTGTTGCCGATTGGTAATCGACGAATCCCTTTTATTTAATGCGAAAACGCCTGCTACATTTACTGGGTGTTCGAAAATGAGTGCCAGCAAACGAAACGGTTCAATTTCGGCGGCGGCGTCGATCGCAGCCCCCGACGAATCCAGTGTCGAAAAAATCGTTGACAGTAGGATAAAGGAAAACGGGGTGAAAGAATATTTTCTCAAATGGTGCGGTTACGGCGAGAAGGATAATACTTGGGAACCGGAAGAAAACCTGGACTGTCCAGGGCTAATTGCCGCGTACGAGGCGGAAAAGGCGAAAAATACGAGGAAACGGCGAACCGTCGACCAGGTAGGATTCGATAGGGGTCTTGAGCCTGAAAAAATTGTTGGCGTTACTGATAGTCCAGGTAAAATGACTCCAACAGCGCCAGGGCATCTGTAAACCATTCCTTGCAGGCACGCTTATGTTCCTGGTAAAATGGGTGGGGACGGATGAGGCTGATCTCGTACCGGCGAAAGACGCCAACGTCAGGTGTCCTCAGGTTGTGATAAGGTTTTATGAAGAACGGTCAAAATGGTACCTGCCTTCAGAGACTTCAACTTCATTTGAGGAGGTTGGATTTGATGATGGTCTTGAGCCTGAAAAAATTGTCGGGGTTACAAACAGTAAAGGTACAGTTTTATTTTATTTTTTAAGAGTTTTTCAATTGTTAGCTTTTATGAATTTTGATTATTAGCGAAAATAAAAATGCTTAAAAAAGAATATCTTTTAAAGTTGATTTATTACGTTGATATCGTTTAATGGACTAATATATTTGAACCATGTTACAGACGGCCTGTTGTTTCTGATAAAATGGGCGGGGACAGACGAGGCAGACCTTGTGAGGGCTCAAGAAGCGAATGTCAAATGGCCGCAGATAGTCATAAAGTATTATGAACAGCGCTTGCACTGGCTTCCTCCTTCGAATAACAACAAATAAGTATCCTAATATTGGCTATGTTCAGGTTGGAGATGGCGTTTTTGCAATATACCTACATTTTAATATTTTTATGTAAAATCATATTAAAGATTTTTTCATCTTAAATGGCTTTTTGTTTCAAACAAAATTGGGTAATTGCCGATTACTTATCGTCAAAACTCTTCCCATGTGAGATGAATAATATTTGGCGATCATGTTTTTCCAACCTTTTTCAGTGGCGCCCTGTTCAATTTACATTCAGGATTCTAATAATTATTAATACCGATCACTTTTGAGGAGTAGAATGTATCTATACAAGGAAAATGAGAATAACAGGTTATCAAACATTTGGACTTAAGTTTCCAACCGAAATCAACAGCACAAAAATTTGGTTTTCCATATTAGGATTTGCGGAAAATAAGCCTTTACCAAAACATTCCGTCCGTTTGGATCATTTCAACGTTGATGATTTCCATTACAATTATTTAAATAAAAGAGCAAATCAAAAATCAAGGCAAAACTTATTTGTCGATAATGGGCGATTGTCTTTAGTGGACCTCTCAGCATAGTTGAAGTTGAGAAAGAACTAACTGTTCTATGATCGCAACAGTTAATTCATAGCCACAGACGGTAAACAATACGCTTCGGCGGCCATGTTTGTTTTTCGTCGTTGATTTGTATGTATGTAACATAACCTTTTCGAGTGAATTGCTTCGTGATAAACGCGGACGGGATGTCGCGTAAATGTTGCTTGTGCGGTACGTGGGAGTACAAATTGCCCAAGGAAACAAATATAACCTTTCACAGGTACGTACGCACTGATAAAACTAGAGTAAAATTTGGCCAGGTATTGTTTGGCCGCCTCCTTGCAGCGTACCCAAAGAGGGCTGGCTAAGGAAACAGTGGTTGGACGCCATTGACATGAAAGATATTGGCGATTTGAGGGAAATATCGCTGTGTTCGGTCCACTTCAGCATAAAGGATTTCCAAATTCTACCGAGCGAGCGCATCGTGCTCAAAAATGGAGCAATGCCTGTCAGGGTTAATCGCAATACGAGGTTTGTTACTTTAGTTGCGCCAGCAACATTATTCCGATCTAGCGTTGACTTCCTTGGGAAATGCCTGAGCTGAGTTAAAGTAAGACAGACACTTAACATTAACAAAATTTCATTTTTTTCCGATTATTAAGAGCCACTGTCATTTCTTCATCTACTGGCAGTACGCACGGTGTAAAAAATTAACTAATTCATTAAACTGTAAGGTTTACTCCTAATTCTCTCTTTTGGTATTCTGCGCATGTACTTTCCCAAAGATCAATTCATCTCTGAAACAGTGACAACAATGGGAATTGGGCCAGAAAAACTGAAAGAAGAAAGAATTAAGAAATAAGAAGATATGTAACCAACCTTAATCAATGAATATTTTGGCTCCATTTTAATTTCAGCATAGTGAAAGTAAACTAGGGCGTTTTATTTATACCACATTTACCTCTATTACCTCATTTTATCCGATCACGATTGATCGATTATTGCCGATTTTAATGAAAAAAGTGGTGTGGAAACTTTGAGCGACCACAGTTCACGTTTGCCCGTCTGCTGCATAGATGAATCGCAAAATAATACATCTTTTCGGTGTTATAGGTCCCGACAGACTTCGACTTGCAGCCCGTGGAACAATTTTTCTCGGAGCGCGTCGCAGCCATCGACTTCGACGAAAACGTGAGACTTCATCCAATCTTCTCACTCAAGTGCACGGTAAATTTGTGGTTTTTTCTAGGCACATTTTTGCACCCAGTGTGCAAGTTGCGCAACCTCTGCCTACGGTTGACGAATCTCAGCCAGCTTCCGCGCCGACAATCAGGTAAATCAACAAAGACCATTTTGAACATAGGCAACGACCCTTCAAGGAAACCTTTTAAAATTGTAATTTCGATAGTTTCGAAATATTATGTAAATTTGGTTATCTTCCCAAAAATTTGAAATTGTGCGATATAACGAAGTAAGCACGCCACCGAACCCTACATTTAAAAAGCAGAACCCTGTTTATGCCTCTTCGTCTATATGCAAACAGACAAAATGACTATTCTTTAAAAGTTAAAAATAAAAATGATTATTGAATGCTTTCGCTGGGCTAGTGTTAAAAAATGCCTATTAAAAAAATGTCCGCAATCGTCCCAGCAGCACCGAGTGGGGCGAATGCGCCGACGACGACGAAGAGGAGGTGGAGATGTTGGACTCGAGTTGCTCGACGTCCACCGCGTCCGAGACGGAACGACTGGTCGCGGCGCCCCGCCCTAAGCGATTCTGTCGCAAGGCGTATATCGGCGACATACGCGACGAGGACTTCGCGCATCCAGAGAGGGCGCGGCAGGCGTTCCTAATCGCGAAAGCTAAAATCGATCTGCAAAAGAAAACCATCAAGGGCTTGCAACAGACGGTGATGCGGCTGCACGCGCGCGTCGACAGACTCATCGCGAAGATATCCATGCTGGGGAAGACCGAGCAGAAACCGAAACGTCACGGGTTCAGAATAGTGCGTCGCAGAAGGTTGCAAAGGATCGGCAACCACCGCTATATCAAGACGTGACGGTTTTCGTGGTCTGCGTCCGACGCCCGCTTATTTTCGTGGTCTGCGTGTGGATATGACGCATAATTTCAGTGGTCCGTGTGCAGCGCCGTCTTGAAGTGTTTTCGCATGTCAATGCGAATAGACTTTATTGCGTTTCGGTTGGGACGAAAACTTGACGAATTATTTCTATAGTACTTCGGGTTGCGGGCTTAAAAACTAAACTCCCTCGCGACGGTTAAGAATTTTATTTTAAATGTGACGGCAATACAATCAAAAAGAACTACTCTGCTAGGAGGTAGGTTTACAACGTGCGGCACGTTTTCCCCGCGCACCTTTGGAATTTGTTCAAAATGGCGGCGTAATAATTGACGACCTTGCGGTCGGTCTCGAGATAGGCGTTCCTTAACTCGTACGGGTCATGCGTCAGGTCGTAAACTTCGATGAAATTCTGTATCGGCGAAAAATAATAAAACATTTATTAATATAAAGCAGAGTAAATCGGGGAACGTCAGCCCCCCCTCTTACCGAATCGTCAGCGAAACGGCAGAATTTAGTCGTCCCGCGGTAGGTGAAATCGACCACGCAGGAGTACGTGTTATTACGGCTGTCTTGACACTTGCACCATTGTGCGACGTCGCACTCCTTGGGAGAAAACAAAAGTCAACCCCAACAGCCGCAATAGTTGTTTGCGAATGAACAAAAGTATGGTGTTATTTACCGGGTTTAAATATTCATCCTTGAGTTAATGGATGTGAAAGTTTTGTAATATACATTATAATATAATTGAAGGTATAATTAGGAAGATGTGATCCTTTTAAAGACTTGGGTGTAACATTGGCCACAAAACGTTTATGTAGGGACCACATTGACCAAAATTTTTGACATTTGGTAAGCAACACGTTTTAAAATTGTTACACTGTGATCATGTTTGTTTAACAATATGGCAACCAATATTTGACAAGTACGTCGCTCAAATTGAAAACAGATGGGTGGCCGAAAGGGTCAATCCCAAAACAAGTAAACCAGTCTCGGGGCTTCAAAGTTAAACAAAAAAGGTTTCATTATTAACAAAACTTCTGGATTCTTCCTGCGTCGGTTGTTGCTTAGTCGAAATTGCGGACGTTTCGCCAATCATCCTGTTGGCTTCTTCGGAGCTTAACTGAAACTGAGGGAGGCGGAGTCAGGAGCTTCTATATTAAAATCCTTTACAGGGAAAACTGATAGTGTCGTAGTTAATTCCTCTCACTTCATTGAACAATTAAAAAGCATTACATAGATCCACAAGATATAAGGGTTAGTCTCAACGTAGGGTTAGTCTCTTAACTAAAGTCTCTATTCCTGACACTCTCATGCTTGTCTGGGACATATTTTTCTTATAACGGTCAAATTTTTCAACGAACGTCGTTCTCCATTATCAACACTCATCGCGAATATATTTATGGAAGCCTTTGAGAAGAAAACTCTCACACCTTCCATCTAAAACCGAAATTATGGAAACGCTACCTCGATATTTTACTATTCTTAGATATTCTTATCAATAGAAAATTAGACCTAACATCCAGTTCAAAAATCAACTCCGAAACTAAATCCCCTTACCTGTGCTCTTCTCTCTACATTACCATATTAAAGATATTAAGCGTTCCATCACAAAATACACTTCACCACAACCTTCCAATAGCAATAAGTCCGAAAGCAATCCCACAGTTGCCAGTATTGCCCTTCCTTACATTGAAACCATCATACACCGCATATCAAAAGTTTTTAAGAAATATAACGTTAAAACCAGATTTACCACTTGTCCAAAAATCTCTCAACATCTTCGATCCGTCAAAGACAAAATTCCATTTGAGATGCCGAGAATACATTGGAGAGACCGGACGAAAAATATCAACGAGGCTCAAAAACCGGACATACAATTTTATTCCACGAAAAATCCGAGAATCTATAGAAACCTATAAGCGATCAAACAATCTCAACCGTGACTCAGGTGACTTTAAACAGTCAACCGAGACGATGTTTATGCCCCTAATTTAGCTCCGCCCCCCTCAAACAATATGTAAGCAGGTACAGAGTAAAATGCGAGCCAGTTTCAATGAAGCCCTGAAGAAGCCAACAGGATGACTGGCGAAACGTTAGCAATCCATAAGTTTTGTAAATTTCTTTGAAAAAAAAAAGTTTCCTTTTTAAACTTCCTCTATCTTACAAAAACAGAAATGCTAGCGCGGAACTACGAAATCAATATTGAGGGAAAAACATAGTAGATGCTCTAAAATTCCCCTTTTAAAACCGCAGAGTCGGTTTTTATTTTTTATTACGATTTTTGGCAATGCGACGGCGCATCTTTACGCCTTGTTAGTGATTTTGTCGTCTCCGCGCCCTCTGATTTGCGTTTCGTCTTATCGTGGAAGCCATTTTCTCAATTGTCAACGTCATCCGAACCCCAATTTTTGTGTACACTAAATTCAAATACAGGCTAGAACCATGGGCGAAGGCTTTATCAGCGATTCGTCGTTTTAGGATATAATACATGTCCTTCAGACTTACGGCGACGCTGCCGTCGTCGAGGGGGCCGCCCCGTCCCTGACAGGCCGGCTCGACGGTTTTCGCGTCGCCCTCGCCCCAATACTCAACAAAGCCGAATCTGGAGCCGCGCTGCTTCCAGTTTTTGAACAGGCGCTTCTTGAAACTGCGCCCGTCCATTGAAGGAGGCGGGTGCACCCCGGCGAGGTCCAGTATAGTCGGGGCGACGTCCACCGACGACACCGGATACGATTCCAGGGTCTTTTTTGGAATGCCGGGGCCGCTAATGATGAACGGCACTCGAACGTCCGTCTCGTACGGCTGCCGTTTGTCCCAGGGCTGACCGAACTGACCTGCGAACGGGCCAGGGGGAGATTTGCTCGCACTTATTAACGGCAATAGCGTGCCGCTCACCTATGTGAAAGCCGTTGTCCGAGTTAAGAATGACATAGGTCCGCTGGAAGATCTTTAACTCCTTCAGTTTGAGGATGATACGCTCGATGAGGTCGTCGACCGCGAGGAGTGTCTGAAGGCGACGCCGATGGATTTGGTCAAGCGCCGAAACGTCGGCGGGTAAGCGCTCCGGCGGCATCGACACCACCCAGTGTTTCTGTAAGTCGCCGATGCGGCCGCATTTTCAAAAATACGCAAAATCGCAAGATAACATACGAAACGCGGCATCCGCCAAATGACAGATGTTCCCATATAGCTGCTAGAGAGATCAAGACCTTGCCTATGCTGGCAATACAGAAACTTGAGAAAGTCGATATTCTCGTTTTTAATTCAACATCGCATAGATCAATAATTTTCTCAAAAGCGTTGAACATTTATTTATTGAAATCAATCCGAATAGCAACAAATTTATAGTGGCTATAGCCACTTGCCACCGAAGTGTTCCTTTGAGAAATATGCAGAATTTGGAAGAACCTGGAAAGACTGGTCGAAGAACACTTGGTGAACTAAGGAAGAATTATCCTGAGTTGCAATCTCTCCGGCAGGAAGCAAGCAGAGCGAGATCGAATCCACTAGGAACAACCTTCCGGACCTAGTGTTCGCACAGGGTGGCGGACTTTCAATGGACTTTTATCATCCACTTCTCTCCTTTTCCTTGCAATGTGATTCAGCACATTTCAACAGTTCTGGCCTTTATAGAGATTTTAAATCAATGGACTTGCGTGTAGTGACTGAGTTTTTGTCTCAGTTCAAACAAAAACCCTTGAGGATGTGGACAACGTGTTCTACGATATAGTTTATTTAGCTATCGATATTTACGTTCCATTAAATAAGTTTTTGGCTAAGAAGTTTCCAGTTCTGTTTTCTCCAGAGGTTAAAGATACAATATTTGAGAAGAAGACTATAACAAATATTCGGACCGAATTTTTAAAAGTGTTACCGGGAATTATATATCTCTGACCGAATCGTCCTTAAAAAAAAAAACGTTAAACATTTTTGGAGGTTCGTTAACAACAAAAAGGAAAGGAACTTTGATGCATCGGTTGTGCACTTTGGCGACGTGATCTGTTCTGTAGATGAAGATATTGTTAATTTATTTGCAGACTTTTTTTCACACTTGAACATTTCGATTTCATCAATTTACGAGAAACTGACGACTCTGGATAAAAACAAAGGACCCGGTCCCGATGGCCTCCCACCATATCTTATTAAGCATTGCAGCCTCATACTTTCTAGACCACTTTGTATTATCTTTAACCAATCTTTCAAAACGGGAAGTTTTCCAATTTACTGGAAATCAAGCTGCATTACCCCTATCCTAAAATCAATATCCTGAGTTGCATTCCTAATGTGTTTGAAAGTTTAGTTTGCGACTATTTTTCTGCTGGCCTGAAAGTTTGCGACCAACCAATTTGAATTTTGTAAGAAACACGCATAGTAGGCCGACCTGGACGTACCATCGTAGGCCCAGATCGCCGTGTCAGTACTAACGCGAGTGTCAGTCATCCCAACAAACTGTCCCTACCCACTTTTATAATAATAAATACCGTGTAACAATTTCTCCATCGCTCCACTGAGCTAAACCTGCTTACATTTACAGATTTTCTGCTGGAATCATTGGAAGAGGGGTCTCGCGTTCATGTTATTCGCACAGAGTTTTCAAAGGCATTTAATAGAGTAAATCATCAAATCTTGGAAGAAGAAAGGGAAGCCAAAAAGATCATGATGAGATGACATGGATAGAAACGTCAATGCAAGGAAGAAATCATCAAATCTTAATAAAAAAATTGCGAAACATTGGAATCCAGACAAAAGTTTTCTTTTATTTCATTTTGTTTATGTGAATCTTAGTTTATATTATATGCGTAGATCATATATATGCAATTCAAGAGTTAATGGAGAAGAAACAGTTAAAAAACACACCAGTATACTTAACATTCATTGATTGGCTATGGCAGAATTAGATATACCAACAACACTGATAAAGGTGATTAAAAACTGGTATAAAATAACAATACAGACATAAAAGTAGGCAACAGTATAGTCGGTAGTTGAAAACGTAAATGCGAAGGAATGGGAAGTCCCTATAAGGAATGAATAGCTTTACACACTCTGTTTCGCGGATGACCAGGTAGTGATAGGGATATATACGAATATATAGGAACGAAGAATATGAGAAGGTAGGATTGGAAATAAACTTGAAGAAGACAACGTACAAGACAACGACAGAAGAGAATCCAGTCAATTTACCAATAGAGGACGCCATTGAAATGAAAGGAACAAATAACTTCAGATACTTGGGATTTATACTGTCTAAAATTGCTACTACAGAGGAACAAATGAATAGGCTTGGGCAGACACCACCATGTATACAACTGCATTCAGTTATATAAGATAAGAACCTCAAGAAAAAAACGAAAACGTTGATATACGATACAATTACAAAGAGTATAATTACATATGAGGTATGGGTAATAAATAAAAACAAACGGAAAATCCTTGCTACCGAAATGAGGTATTGGAGAAGATGCTGTGGACTCACTAGAAGAGACCGAGTTACAAATGAAGAAATCAGAAGAAGAATGGGCGTGCAAAACGATGTAATACACATCACATAGAAACCAAAAGACTCCTATGGTATGGACATGTTAGAAGAGCGAGGAACAGATGCATCAACAAATGGAATGGAGCCCGATTGGAAGAAGAAAGGGAAGCCAAAAAGATCATGATGAGATGACATAGATAGAAACGTCAATGCAAGGAAGACCGTTGGGACACGAATCATGGGAAGATAGACTTCCTAGATATAAATATATATATATATATATATATATATATATATATATATATATATATATATATATATATATATATATTCTCAAAATAAATATTCAAACAAAAACGAATTAAGTGTGTCGAAACCGCTGTTTAGAAAGAAAATGCCACAATGCAGGTTAGTGGGTGGGGCAAAATATAAGTTACACTTAAAATTAATTAAAAATAGAAAAAAAACCTTTGAAGATTGAAAAATAAAGGAAAAGTGGCAAACATTTGGCCTACTTTGACTAGCTATATTTTTGAAGAATTAAATTAAACTGTCTTCATTTTTATAAGGTCTGATTTTTTATGTAAGCGTTTTTCTAAAGAATTGTGGCAAGCGGCATATGTCGATTGCGGAACAGCATCCCCCACATTCTGTAGTAGCGCAAAAACATCCCAATTTTCTGGTTAAACTTACGCCATTTGGTGTATAGTTAAACGAGGGGTTCCGGACGGCTGTCATTTTCGGGAACTTGTTCAAGTAACGTTTGGGTGGCAGAAAAGGGGCGTGGCTCGCAGGCGGCGCGACCATCATGAAAAAAGGGCCCGCTGTGACGGAGTTTTGATTCAAAAAGTCCAAACTGAAATCAGCCTACAAGGACGAAGATGGGCGCTTTTATGGCTCAGTTTACGGCACCACTCTTACCAGCAAATCCGTCAAATAGACGTTGCGGTATGTCTTGGAGGTACCATTTAGTGACAACGTGTAGTTGTAGTACTTTGAGTTGCCTTTGAGACCGATCCACCAGTCATACCCAGGTGGGACGTGACTTAAACCTGCGGCCAATTTTGAGCCGTACTGAAACGTTGACGGGGACGCGTAAATTTTAAAAACCGTCTTGTTCACCCCCGTACCTGATTCAAGTACTTGCCCGCGTAAAACGTGCTGTAATTCGCGGCCCTTTTCAAAACCGCGGCCAGCGAGTCAGGCTCGTGAGTTTTCCGCCACGATTCACCGCCGCAGTTGCCCGATATCGAATTGTTGACGACGCCAGTGTTATGCGCGTATTTTCCGGTTAAAATCGTCGACCTGCTGGGGCAACATATGGGCGTATTGACGAACTGAAATGAACAGAAAAACAGCAGTCCATTTCGGACTCGTAATAGGTCAAAAGACCGCGTCTCACCGCGTTCTGGAAAAACTTTCCCTTGTCAGCAATTAGTCGGAGCGTTTTCTTCATGGGCATCTGAAAATGCACCTTCGTAAGGCTCCTTGTTGTTTCCGGAACCTGACTTACCAAACTGTTTAGTAACAAGTCCTGGTCGTCGGTAAGGATGTACACGAAATTGGGAGCAACGCGGCCGCCGTACGCAAAGAAACTCCACAACGCAAGTATCACCAAAATAATACGCAAACCCATTACCGACACACATTTAATTTGCGAATGTACAACTAAGTAAACTAACGTGCGGATCTAAGACTGGGACGGCACGAGCTCGATCCCGTTACACTCTTGCGCTATCCGGATGCCCAACGCGAATATACCGATGCTTTTCACCAAAGCCCTGCAAAAGTAAAATGATTTCACCGAAATGCGCTTAACCTCACACTATCGCGGTAGTCTCACCATTTGAACTCGTCGTAGTACAAACCCGCCAGGAACGCAACGAAACCGCCCTGTTTGGTCATTTTATTCACTTTAAGCCAGACGACGATATCGACTCGCAATGCAAATTATGAAAGTCAAATTTATGGAATTGAAATTTCTAGTATTCCACCCACAGAATAGCACGTAGAGGATTCAATGGATTCTTGGAAGTATTCGGCTTATCTGTGGATACCTGTCAATTAGTCCTAGAAGACATAAAATTTTGTAATTTCCAAAAAAAAATAACAAAATCCAAAATTATGGGATACAAATTGTGATTAGCCTGTTTCATGAAAAATAATCGGGCCGCAAAAATTCTGCCCTGTCATTTTTTTTCCAAATTACGACGGTGATTGTGGCTGTTTCGAAAACTATATTTTATTGGTCTGTGGTTTCCTTAAAATGTTCGTAATTCGGCGAAGTGTTGTCAAATTACAAAAACAAATAACCTGTCCGCTAACAGCGAAAGGAACTCTCAAGGACGCGAAAATGCAGAGCTCGAATTGTAATTAGAAACGATCCGCGATGGGTTCGGTGCAGTCTTTCTTAAAATTTTGGCCCTTTACCGCTTTTTCAGCAAACGACGACTTCGTAGAAGGTGTCGTGTGCAAAGTACGAGATGTGTGCGAGAACGAAATGAAGACGTTCGATTTGGGCGAGCACAAAATTTTGCTCGTCAAACAGAACGGGATTATAAACGCCTTAGGCACGAAATGCACTCATTATGGTGCTCCGTTGGTCAACGGGGCGCTCGGACGAGGCAGGATCAGGTGTCAGTGGCACGGTGCCTGTTTCAACGTGTCGACAGGAGATATCGAGGATTTTCCAGGTGATCATTGCTTTACAGTTTTTTAAACGTCTTTTTTTTTTAAACCCACCTTGCAGGTTTGGACTCCTTGCCTTGTTACAAAGTAACTGTCGATGGGGAGGACGTCAAAGTCCGGGCCAAGAAGTCGGAATTAGAAGCGAACAAGCGTAGGAAAACAATGGCTAAAAAAAGGTCCTGTGTCACCGAAAAGATCCTCGTAATCGGCGGCGGTCCCGCGGCAGCTACATGCGTCGAAACTCTGAGGCAAGAAGGTAAATGACAGAAAAAAGAAAGCATTTTATTCTGCCACCGTGGTATAAAGCGTTTTCCGCCGGCAACATATCCTCCATACGTTTTTCCAGGTTTCCGGGGTGAAATAACGTTAGTTTGCCGAGAAAATAGCTTACCGTATGATCGAATTAAACTTAGCAAGGCGATGGACGCCGACGTCAAGACGCTCCAATTCAGAGATGACGCGTTTTACGCGGAAAACGGGATCACCGTGCTGAAAGGCAGGTCGGCCGTCTCCGTTGACACCGGCGCCAAGTCGGTACGTCTGGACGACGACCAAAGCCTAAAATACGACCAACTGTTCTTGGCTACGGGCAGTCACGCTCGGAAACTCAAAGTTCCGGGCTCCGATCTCCGAAACGTGTTCGTTTTGAGAGAGTTCGAGGACGGCGGGGCCATTTTGCGGCAACTCGCCAAAGATAAGGAGGTCGTCATCATCGGCTCGAGTTTTATCGGCATGGAAGTCGCCAACTATTGCGTGGACAAGGTGCGCAAGGTCACGGTCGTGGGGCGCGACTCGGTACCCTTCAGACCGGTGTGGGGCGAGAAAATCGGTAGCGCCATTTTAAACCTGTTCAAAGGCAAGGGCGTCCACTTCGTCGGACAGAGCGGTGAGTTTGCGGCGTTGCCGGATCTACGCGAAATCAACGGCAACGTTGGAATTGTGAACGGATTTGGTTAGAAAATTCCGGGTATGTTAAAGTTTTCCGGAATTATTAGCAGGACACCCAATGCCAATCTCCATTGTACAGGGTGTTATGGAAATGCGATCATATAATATAATAAATGAATCTCATGGTTGATGGCAAAAATACTCCTTGATGCCTGGCATTCCAGATAAGTTGCTCCAAAAATTTCATGTAATATTCTTATTTTTTTTTGTCTGCTTGTCGGTTCTCCGTTCTCATCTTTTGGTTTTTCCTGAATAATTTTCGAACCAGAAGTGGCCCTGATCCGACTCCGGTATCCATCTTTTTTTTCACGATTTTCGACTGTTTTTTGCTATGAAACACGAAATTTGAAGCAATCGACTTCATATGTGACCCATCTATGCAGCTTTGCCCCGTGACGGAACCTATTGAAAAGGGGGGGGGGCTGGGAGGTCGGGAAGTATTTTAAAAAAATTAAAAATCGCGTGTGCAAGGGTCTACAACAAAAACCATTTTTCAAAAACCGTTTACAAAAACGAAAAAATTCTTGAACCAGAAGACGCAGAGGAAACGACTCCATAAACTTTTATTCTTGACAATTTTTCAAATATGTACAGGGTGCGCCGCAAATTCAAAAAAACTGAAAAATGGGTCCCGCTATTATTGAAAATTGGCAGTAACTTCAAATCTGTATTTTAGATGTCAGTTTCTTTTACATGACTATATAGACAGCTTAAACTTTTGTATTTACGGTTTTGAAGTATTGTACATAGTATTCCGTGCAATATTAAAAAACATAAGTAGTCCAAATTTGCAGCTACCGACTTCAGACTTGGGAGAGAAGTAGAAGTCTGGGCCCGCATTTAGACTCTTTAAATTGGGAGCAATAAAATAACGCGAAGTATTTTTTTAATTTTTGATTTTTTTTTGTGGTTATTTTGGCATCCAGAACACAGCTTTTCCTCCAAAGCCATTCATCCGATCGGAAAAATATTACATCCGTAATACGTGGAAGACCCGGCGCTACAACTATAGACAAAAATCTAAAAGACCCTGTGTGTGAGATTCCGACGAGTGACCCGTGCTCTCGTTGTTGCACTCGATTAATCGCTACCCAAATTTCTTGATAAACGGTGTTATTTTATTGATGAAAATAAATAACATTTTCTAAAGAAAACAAAGGACTAACATTCTTTAAATTAATTACATAGCCCGGTAGATGAATGCTGACTCTAGCACCTCATCGAACTGTTTCGAACTGTCTGGATCGGCATCGGATCGAAGCATTCCAGGGGCGGGCGGCCTACGATGGACTCGCGAAGCCGGGTCGCGTGCCTACTATGTTGCGTTGTAATACCGAACACCCTGCTGAAAATTGTTCTTTTAGAGAGTAAATTATTAACTGTAAATCGAAATTCGTAGAAAAAATAGCTAATACGTTCAAACAGTGTTATAGGCCGTATCAAGGGCCACAATTTTTGTATTTACGGTTTTCGTGTATCATATACGCTGTTCGAGATATTTGAAATAATCCAAATGAAAATCACTATTTCTAGACGCGATGACGTCATTTAATATTACCACTTATTTACGTGTTTTGAGAATACAAGTAGTTTTTTGAAAACCATTTACTCCATTGAAAAAATTCGGGTACCAGGAAACTCAGGAGATCCACGGCTATATCCTCTATTTCGAACATTGTCGGAATCATATACAGGGTACGTCGTCTGTGGGCAAAAAATTCTGATAGATCCTAGAGATTTCCGCTTTTGCCGGTGATTTATTAATATATATGATACAGGGGTCGCGAGATATTTGAAAAAATATAATTTTAAATTGCAAATTACCAGTACAAATTTTAATATTTACCGAAGTGTGCCGTAACTTTGAAGCTCGACGATATGTGAAGGAAGGGTGTATTCACAATCAAATTACTTCGATTTTGCGAAAGTTCCATAGTGGTCCACGATAGAAAAACAATGCGTCCCTCTAGGACAAGAATCGTCTTTTTAAAATGAAAAGTGAAAACTTGCCCCGCTCACCGAAAGCAACCTTGTTTTAACTTCACTTATTGATAATTCGACCCGTAGAATATAGATGGCGCGACAAATATCGCATTTAAAATCTAATCCTCGGCCGTTATCAACCAAGATTTAATTAAATTGTATTAGTTACATTGTTTGCTTAGTGACAGTGTTATAAGTGTTAGGTGAGAAATTTCGGACAGTTTTAAACATTAAAAACGGGCAGGTTGTAAAATGTGCAGCTATGGAAACAGCATATCTTATACATATTGTTGATTAGTTTCTTACCCTAACCATGTACCAGATAACTAGATTTAACGTTTTGCAGCGTTTTTATCGAAATTAACTTGGGGGTAACACTCTGTATACCACGTGTTTTGAAATTAGACCTTATTTTAACCGCATATTCTGCACCTGAGAAAAAAGCCTCGTTAAACGACCACGTGTGGTCTTGAATTTTAAAATATTGACGTCTAATTTCGTTCCAGGAATCAAACGAGTGATCGGCGACGACGCGGGGGCTGTCGCAAGCATCGAACTGATCGACGGTAGCCTCCTGAAGGCCGACGCGTTGGTGGCGGGTATCGGAGCCGCCCCCAACACCGATTTTCTACAGGGCTCCGGCCTCAATCTCAGGCCGGACGGGTCGATCGAGACCGACGAGTACCTGCGTACGGAGGTAGGGGGCGTTTACGCCGGAGGCGACATAGCCTACGCCCCCGTGTGGTGCGAGGGGAACGCTAAGGCGGTCATAGGGCATTTCGGGCTCGCCCATTACCACGGCCGTATCGCCGCGCTTAACATGTTGGGCGCAAATCGACCCGTGAGCAACGTGCCTTTCTTTTGGGCCACCCTGTTCGGGAAGAGCTTCAGGTACGCGGGGCACGGTGCCTTTGACGACGTGGTCTACACGGGTGACGTCGACGCCCTGAAGTTCGTCGCGTTTTTCCTGCGAAAGGGCGTGGTCGTGTCGGTGGCAGCGTGCGGTAAGATTCCAGTGTAATATTTTGCGAATCTAAGGGAACAACGTTATCATATTGAAATTGATAAAAGTTTTAATTAATTAACAAAAAGAAGATATTAAATAAGCATCGATTGAATTAGTTATTTAGAACGACTTTCAAAGAAGTATTTTTTACAAATTTTGACAATTTCAAACTAATATCCACGGAAAATTTGGAGTTTTTTGATTGAATACAATTTCCTTAATACTCAATCAAATTTTAACATTTTTAAAAATGAAACTATAAGTTTCAATACAAACTAAAAGTTCAGAATTTCACGAAATTATATATTTTGACATGACTATTGTTTCGACAACAGCGTGTCTTTATCAAATGTAATATTTACAAACTACCTGCTACTATATATACCGAAAAATGACGATAAAACCTAAATTAATGTTGTGAGAATTTAAGTTGAAGTTAGACTTAACTGTTACGAAAGGCAAAACAAATTAGATTTTTCAATATATCATAAACCTTCACACACGGACACAGTCACCCTTATACACACAAAATGGCTGCATTTAACTCTTTTATACACAGACTTCTTAATATGCCACTCTCGACAGAAAATTACAACAAACAACTTAATATCATTAACAAATTGCACCGAACAACGGCTATAATCCGTTCATTATAGATTAAATTATAAATAAAAAACAAATCCAGACTCTATTTATCCGAAACCTAATACAGAACGCGTATAATTTGAAACAATTATATACATAGAATCTAGTGAAAAAGTTTCAAAACATTTGTCAAAATGTGGTTTAAAAATAGCTTTCAGAACTAACAGCACAATAGGAAAATATTTAAAAATCGAGTGTCTACAGGTTGAAATGTGGATCTTGTCCTAAAATTTATATTGGACAAATAGGTAGATCGTTCAAGAAACACATTAACGAACATAAAAGAGCGTTTAAAAACAATAATCTAGATTGTAATTATGCTACACACTTAAACACAGAAAAACGCATTTTTGACGACAATTTCGATATTTTACATACAGCCACAAAAACCAAAGCCATGGAGATTAACAAAAAGAAACAAAAATCAATTAAATTTAAATACCTCTCCTTTATTGAACTTACATTCTCACAACAACATTAATTAAGGTTTTATGGTCATTTTTCGGTATATATAGTAGCAGGTAGTTTGTAAATATTATATTTGATAAAGACATGCTGTTGTCGAATGAAAACAAGTAAAAGCCACCTCAGTTAAAATTTTCAATTTTAATATCAACATTGATATATTGATATTGAAATCTAAGACGAAGAACTGAGCAAAATCAGGCAATTTTTAGCCCACTGACTTTTTTTTGTTATATCACTCTATCCCCAAGTAAGAAATATCGCGTATCACCCCATCCCTATCCTATTAATTGAACCGAGGAGGCTTTTACTTGATGAAAATCCATTTATCAAAATAAATAAGAACTAAAAGTTCAGATTTTCACGAAATTATACATTATGACATGATAATTGTTTCGACAACACCCTGTCTTTATCAAATGTCTAATAAAGACACTGAGTAAATAAGCTATAAATAAAAGTGCTTGTCCGACAGCTTTTCAGGTCAATATCTAACAATTGGGGTTGAAGGGATATCGCCATATTTCCGAATTATGTTATAAATTTAGTTAGGAGTTAATTGTTTGAATTTTGTCCCCTTAGATGGTTAAATTTTATTACTGAGCGTCGTCGTCCTAAGTGGACGTAGGGATAACGATTTCGTTCGCAGGCATGGACCCCGTAGCGTCCCAGTTCGCAGAGCATGCGTCCCTTGGAAAAAAATTGTACAGGGAGGACGTGAGCGGCGACTCGGTTCTCGATTGGACCGCCGCCTCGTAAAAAAACTCACAAACAAACTAACAGTATTGCAAACTTGAATTTTTTACGCTTAATTTAAGGTGATGGAACCATATGCTATTTTATTTATTTGTTAATAAACGTGCACCAGCAGCTGATATTTGCTTCTCCCTGCAATTCCTAATAAGTGGCGCAAATTTAAAAATCCATCGTTATACCGACCACTTCTCTGACAATACTGAAATGGTTTTCGATGCATTTCATTTTCGGTGTTTTGAACAAGTGCAATTAAAGGAATTACAATAATAAAAAAAAACATGCAGGTAAGTATTAAATTTTTGGCTTCTTAAGATTCGATCTTTAGGCATAGAATACGATAGAACGTCCTGGTTAGATGCTCCAATGAATACCCTCTTAGATTCAAACGGATCCTGCGATTTTTTATTATATTACAAAAATCTTAATTTATATTCAAAAACAGATGCCACGATAACATACTGGCAAACTTGTATAGCCAATTTCACTTATGGTGGCTCAATATCAATAAATTATAAGTATGTATAATATACCATCACATAATTAATCAGTACCAATTTCAATAGCCTTTCTAGGCCAAACCACTTGCTTAGTTCAAGTTGTTTTTCTTTTCATTGAACGCACGGATTAAATAATTAATTAATACAATATCGAAAACTTAATATGTCAAAACTCGACTGATTTTGACGTGCCTAGACGATTGAGGACATAACCACAGATCGCTAATGCGGTGGTAGTCTGTGACATAACCTACAAAACAAATCCAATGTGGCGGTCGTGCAAGGCATCCGTTAATTCTAGAAACCGATCGGGTGGTGTTTTTGAAACGTGAAAGAACTCAGAACAGACAGACGCGGAGGCAAAACGGGTCAAATTGATACGATCAATTCATAGATACGGCAGACGCGACCTTGTCGAGGCGCGATAAATAAGTAACGCGGGAATTCAATTGTCCGATATACGCGCCGAGCCAGCAAAAAGATAAGCGCTTATTAAGAATGGGTTCGGGAAATTCCTTTCACTTTCGTCGAGGCGGTGCACGTATTAGTAAGCGCCTTGTGCTCGATGCTTACCGTGCGGCACGTTTGGTGATTTTTTTTTGTTACTCGCGCACATTTCGACATGGGTTGCGGGTCATCGAAAATAAAGGATGTCGATGGTACGTGAACAAATGGGCAATATACTATTATCGTTCCTAGCGGCCGCGATCTAAAAAAAGTGAGGCAAATTTTACAATAAAAAGAAACAGCTAGTAGTGAGGATTATTATCTTTTTCTTCCTTATTTATATAAATGGAAGAATGGGGCGTTCTCATTGTTTGATTACAATATTTACCAAAATATTTTTATTGAAATGTTTTGCACATTATTATCCAGCAAAGTTTTCTTTAAATATTTGCTTATAATCACTTAAAATCAAAAATGCAAAAATTATTTGCATTAATTGCATTTGCAAGACAAGATTTATCGCCGCTGATGCAACGTTTATTTTTTTTTATCCGCCAGCAGAACAAATGCACCCAAACATTTTCAAACGAAAGTGTACCGTACAGATTAGCTTCGTTTTATCAACGTTACCTAATAATTATTAAGGCATTGAATAGATTTTTTTTGTCACGTAGGGAACGTGATTAGGATCTAATCCAGTCGGGTCAGGTAATTAATGTTTTTTGCAACCTCACACTCGATTCATAATCTATTAATCTTCTGGCGGCGATAAAAACACTCCATCTCGTGTTTATCAACACAAATATGCGACAATTAGATCCTTCGGATCTCTAATCTATTTAATACGTCGTTCTCTTGGAACCACCCTTTTCGATAATTTCATCCGCCGCCGTTAACTATGGTCCGTGACAACCGCGCGCACAATCTACCCTGTCGAACAAACGTTGTTACTGTGCAGAACGGGGTAAGGCGATTCACGCCGGGACCGACGACGACGACGACGACTTCGTCGAAGATGTCCTATGTAAGGTGGACGATCTCAAGGAGAACGAAATGAAAACGTTCGCGCTCGATGAACAAAAGGTCCTCGTCGTGAAGCAAAACGGAAAAATCAGCGCGTTGGGCACCAAGTGTACGCACTACGGGGCGCCCCTCGTCAGCGGCGCACTAGGTGAGGGGCGAGTCCGGTGCCAGTGGCACGGTGCGTGTTTCGCATTCGCCACCGGCGATATCGAGGACTTTCCCGGCCTCGACTCGCTGCCGTGCTACAAGGTCACGATAGAGGACGGCAACGTGAGGGTGAGGGCAAGAAGGACCGAACTGGAGACGAACAAGCGCGTGAAGCCGATGGTCAGACGCGACCCGAACAACGAACAGAGTTACGTCGTGGTGGGCGGAGGACCGTCGGGGGCCACATGCGTCGAGACGCTGAGGCAAGAAGGTTGGTGCGAATGCTCGACGGGGCTCTCTTCGAACCGCCGCTACCGTACGGGGTGGAATTTCTGTTTAAAGGTTTCGACGGCGAGATCACGCTCGTGTGCCGCGAAAACTACCTGCCGTATGATAGGGTAAAGGTGAGCAAAACGATGGACTTCGACATCACCAAGGCCGAGTTCCGCGACGACAAGTTTTACGCGGACAACGGCATCACCGTACTGAAGGTGGGTGACGTCCCTCGCGTCCCGATGAGGTTCTCTGATGCCGCGTCGAAGTATCAGACATCCCGACACACCATCACAGACCACAAAATTGAACTCAGTCGTGAACGTCACAAAACACTTTTCAGGGCGTATCGGCGACCGCCGTCGATACAGCGGACAAATTCGTCGCCCTGGATAATGGCGATCGCGTAAAGTACGACAAACTTTTCGTCGCGACCGGCTGCAAACCGTGGAAGCTGGACGTGCCAGGCTCCGATCTCCGTAACGTGGTCGTCCTCAGGGACTACGAGGACTCACAGTAGGTGTTTTGTTTGATAGCCTGCTTAATATTAAATTTCAAAAAAGATAGCGTCTTCAGATTACAAATTCAATTACAAATTGTTAGGATTTAGGATTTATTGTGTGGACGATGTCACAGGCCTTCCGCTACGACCTGATAATCTCTTGCGACACACTTCAAAATATTTGCTCTCCCATCAGACTCTGTCTTTGTACTATTGCTATTATTCTATTAGGGGTATCTTATTCAGATCCTCAAGCCTGAGGGTTTCAACCCTGATTCTTCCCACATTTGCACAGTATGTGCTCTTTCGTTTCTTCATCTCTGTGTCTGGCGTACATTCCTACGAGAATTTTCAGATTTGCTCTGTTCATACAGTTTTCCATCCTTCAGATTACAAATTCTAGAGCGTTAACTCTAGTTTAGTCCTGAGTCTTGGGGTCTAGGCTTGCCTTTCTAATCCACTTCACTCCTCCACAACTATCCACGCTCCCCAGGCTCCGGTTCCAATCTTTATCATCGTTCTTAGAGGCCAGGTCAACGTCGAAAAGGAAAAAGATATTGTTACAAATTTCAATTACATCGTATTAACTAAACAATTATTTAAATATTACAGAAAAAAATCTTCTGTGGAGTAAGGTTCTAACTCTATCAATAACTTTTTTATTGTGTATTTAAAGATTTTTAGATTTATTATACAATCTCAGGCACATGTAACAAGGACTCCTTTCAGTTAAAGTTAAACGATGAATAGGGTAATTTACATTTAGAGTTCTGGTATTATATTTATGAAATGCCTGTAGTTCGAAGTCCCCATTTTTAAAAAAGAATATCAATGCTTCATAAATATATAAAGCATATACAGTAAAAATTCCTGCAGCTCTCTCTAAATTGCATTTTTTTGACAGTGCGAAGAGTCCTCTTTTGAACCACGAAAATTTTCTGTAATTGACCACTACCCCCCTAAAAGATAATTCCGTACCTCATGCGCGACCGAAAGTTTGCAAAGTACATAATTTTGAAAGTTTCCTTATTCATACAATTTGCAACGACTCTAATTCCATAACAAATTGAATTTAATTTATTTAGCAGACAATCAATATGTTCAGACTAATCAATTTGTAAACCTAACAATTTAGTGCTACTTACAATACTATTTTCTTTTTCTACTCCCTAATTACCCACCGATCTAGCGTCGCTTTACCACGTCAGTTTCGTTTCCCACGACGAGCCACTTCGGACATTTCCGGGATTTTACCGCACGGGTTCGACAGCAATCGGATGTTTTCGTTGATATTTCCCGCGCTTTGAATTTTGACGTTTGTCAATTCTGACAGTCTTGTCAGTGAATGTGTCAGAAAATGTACGCAAAAAACGGTCGGTAAACTTTTTAACTCACTCGTTTATTAAACACTCGCTCCGCTCGTGTCAAATAAACTCGTGAGTTACTTATTACTTTACATAATTTAGTTTCTCTTTGTTTAATATCAATTTATTTCCCATAAGCCCTTGTGAAAATATCGTTGCCTTTATCGCTAACCGCAGTGAGATTATTTGTTTATATCGCTTGCGGTTCCAATTAACCATCTATAGGTACACCATCAAACAGCTCGCCGAAGACAAAGAAGTGGTGGTGGTCGGCGCGAGTTTTATCGGTATGGAGGCGGCCAACTATTGCGTCGACAAGGTAAAAAAGGTGACCGTGATCCTCAGGGACACGGTGCCTTTCCGCAGCATGTGGGGAGAACGGATAGGCGCGGCCGTGGAGCGCGTGTTTCGCGACAAGGGGGTGCACTTCGTAAACCGAAACGGTAAGAGGCGCGACGACGCGCGTCCCGCGCCGTCTCTCGACGTGCCGCGGTTTTCAGGTATCGAACGCGTCAACGACGATGGAAACGGAGCGGTGTCCGAGGTGGTCCTGCGGGACGGCCAGGTGCTAAAAGCGGACCTGCTGGTCATGGGCGTCGGCAGCACTTACTACACCGACTTCCTGCGGGGCTCGGGGATCGGCATGCAGTCGGACGGATCGGTGGAGACCGACGAGTACCTCGAGACCAACGTCTACGGGGTGTATGCGGGCGGGGACATAGCCTACGCCCCCGTATGGTCGCACGGTAACGCCAAAGTCGCGATCGGCCATTACCCGTTAGCACAGTACCACGGTAGGGTAGCCGCACTAAACATGCTCGGTCGTAAAGTGCCACTCCGGGCGGTGCCGTACTTTTGGACGATGCTCTTCGGCAAAGGGTTCCGGTACGCCGGACACGGCAAATACGACGACATCGTCTACGCGGGCGACGTGGACAAGCTAAAGTTTGTCGCTTTCTTCCTCGAGAAGGACGAGGTGGTCGGCGCGGTGTCTTGCGGTGAGGCACCCCATATTCACATTTTCGCCGGATATAATGATGGGAGCGGTTTTTCAGGGATGGACCCGGTCGTGTCGCAGTTCGCCGAGAGGTTGTCGCAGGACCGGAAACTCCTCCGGCAGCACCTCGAAGCAGATCCGTTGGCATGGACGAAATCGTAGCCCTTCGTCACTTTCTAATTTCATCGTTGACTTTTGTTAATTTATTGCTTCGCAGTATTAAACGTATTTACAAAGTTAACGTTTGCATCATCTCACCCCACTCGGGAAGTTACAATGTCGGTAACACCGAAGACGCAATAGAAGTCCCAAAATTGTACACTGGCGGGCAAAAAAATTTAGCTTTCCTGCAAATGCGTTAAAGCCTGTTCCTAGATCTAAGAAAGTGACTAACTGATACGAACAAGCTGTTAGAATGAAATATGGCCGAACAGGTCCGTACTTGCTTAAAATTAAATTATTTGGACTTTTGTTAGGAAAGATACTAAACAATGTTTATTTATGTTTAAATCTAAAATAAAATTACAAATTATTTTTATTACCTACTTAAATTACTTAAAATTATTCGCATAATATATCAGTATCACTATCGCTATCATCGCCTGTTCTAATTATTATTTGTTCGCATAATTCGCACACGATTCAACACACGAGATAAGAATGATTCCTAATAACCTTAAACTAAGTAGTATGCCAAAGCAAAGAATATTAAACACAGGTAGGTATAAAATTATTTTCTATTACGGACCCCATTTTTCAACCATTGGATAATCCCATTCAAAAGCGATTGGCCACTTTCTTATATCTATGAACAGACCATATCTGTCAGTTGTTGTCAGCGTAGTTTCCAAATAAAACGGAAGTTCGGCCTAATTAAAAATTCGAGCTTTAGATACTTTAGATACTTCGGTGTATTTTAGATGTAAGTTGATCAAGATGCCTTTAGATACTATTGTTGTGGCTAGCATTGTAGGGTAATACAAGATGGTCGACGAAAACGGGAAACTGCGAGAATTAGTAGGAGGCTAGTAAAAAATGTATAACATCGCTACGAGGACACTGGATTGATCGCTAGAAGACGACGATCCGATCAAACAAGGATTACCAACCAAAGAGACGATCGATTTTGGTGTCCGTAAGTTTGCGGAATAGGACAGCTTCTGCTGTTTGGAATCGAAATCAACTTCACGAGATTAGAGGACGGACTGTTAGAAGAAGTCTTTGTGCTAATGGATTTTCTTGTTGAAGGATGGCTACAGGGCGCCCATTGCACAGACGGCATCCAATAGCAAGATTAGCTTTTGCCAGAAATCACTTAGACTGGAATTATTTTTTGTCTCACTAGACGTCGGAGAGTATCGACGAGACCCGGTGAAAGATCCATCGAATATGTGTGGGATGATATAGGACGACGTATTCGAAGACATACGCTAGCTCCAAGAAGTGCCCAAGTGCCGAGAGAGATGCTAATGCAGGAATGAAACAACATCGATCAGGAAGTAATCGGTAGTTTAATTCAAAGCATGCCTCGTCGCTTACAAAAAGTCATAAATACAAGAAGAGCGAACACAAGTTATTGATTTTCAGGTTTTCTCAATATTGTTAATTGTTACTCGTTTCTTTAGTTACAAAAAAAACTTAATTTTTACGATTTTACGATAAAATCATGAAAACCAATATAATTAAATGTTACGTTCGGGTAACCAAATACTGTAGGATAGACAGTTTTCCACCTACCAGATCGACGATTCGGTGATAAACTTTTTTTTCAAAATAAATAAGAACTAACCAAAAACTTTTTTTCCATAAAAACATTTAATTTCTAAAGTGATCTAAATTTTTTGCTCGCCAGTGTAACTTACATAACTTTAAACGACCACCTTTCTACCAAAACTTTATTATCTTGTATGTCAATTTACCCTTAGGTGGTAAGCTGGTCAATATAATAAGTTTAGCATCAGAGATTCGGGAAAATTCTAAAATGTAGAGTATTTTTCAAAACTTTTGACATTTAAAAAAATACTTTTTATTTCATATTTTTTAAAATGTCAAAAACATGATTTTGTATCTTCCATTGCTTTACTTCATATATTTGGACTCCAACACTATTGAAACTGAAGATTGTCCTATTTCAACACTCAAACCAAACAGTACTTTGATATTTCTATTTGACATGCTCTTTTTTTATTCAATCTTAACTGTTTTGCAACGACAATGAAGTAGATTTGTTTTACGAGTCAAATGCAGATTCCTGAGCTATTTCTAAAAGTATTTCCACATTTGATCAGGCCTCTGCAGGCACAGAATCAGCTTTAATTGAGGCATGCTTATTCTCTCACTTTACTCAGCCTGTATTTGTAAACTTTTCCTGACTGCAGCATTTTTCGATCATTTTTTAGTCTGTGCACAAATAGGGACAAAACCTCACTTTTTTTTTAACTCAGTTTTTTCACAAATGCACGACATAATCTTTATAAAAAGCAGACACCCGCAAACTGAACCGGGTGAGTTTTTGGTTAATAAATATTCGAAATCAATTTCATCGTCGCTAATTCTTACTAGGCACTAAAGTCGATCGATTTTTGTAAAATCTGAAAAATAGTAAAGCCGGTAAAATAGAAGAGCGACCCGGATTATGGAAACATAACGCTAGATGGCGTGGGGATGAAAAAGATGCGGTAAGTCTCGATTTAAATTCAACTGCACACGACACACTTATAAACGAAATAAACATTGAAATTTACCGATAAAGCACACAATCTCGAGATATCGAAGGCTAGGACGATAAAATTCCTCCGCCATCAAACCAATAACGAAACCGAGCCTGGTGACGATGGACCGCCTCCTGCCAAATAACGAGATCTACCTCGACGAAGAGATAAAGGCCGAATACCCGACCGCGACAGTAACGCCCGATAAAACATCGATTGACTTTCGAACGCATAAGAACTTGAGGCCGTTCTGCTACCACTGCGGCGACTACAACCTCAGTTACGGCCAGAAGTACTTCTGGCACCGGTGCGTGAGTTTCCGTCACTTTTTCTGTTACTACTGTTTCGACTACAGCCTGAAAAAGTACACGCACACGTGCGTCGACGGCGAGCCGATAGTAGACGAGTGTCGCACCATCGAGCACTTGCTGTGCGGCAAGCTAAAGTTTTGTTGTAAATCGCCTGGGTGCCGCAAGATATTTGGCGGATCAGCCATCAAGAAACACGAGATAACATGCGAGAAACAGCCCGAGATGGCCTGCCCCGTGAACGGATGCAAGTGGCGGGGAAGGATCGACGTTATGGAAGGCGAACACTTTAAGGACCACGAAGACAGCAAGCTAATTCTGCGCAACGTTGTGCTAAAACTCGATCCTGGCCGCAAATATTACCTGCTAATTCTTGGTAAATTCGTACTCGTGGATTACACGTCCGAAGAGCTCGGCGAGGTGTACGAGCACTCGTTCTCCTTGTCGGTGCGCAATGGTGACGTCGGTACGGCCGTCAAGCCGGTCGGTCTGGTCTCGACGAGCCACACGCTGCTCAAGAAGATAGTGGGCGACGACTCGGTGAAAAGCGTGCGGAAAAACGTGGTCGTTTTCGTGTATTTTGAATGAGAAAACACACCGATACCGACGGACACTTTAACCTGATCGATGGTTTCATACTTCGACCATAGAATAATTGTGGTTAATAAATCCGATTGTATGGTCGATGCTTGATTTATGTATGCCCAAAACGCTTTGTTTACGTGTGATTAAAGGAATTTCTTCTTTACATCTAATTAAAACAATAAAATAGAATTGCCGTCTATGACGTAACGCCGCCCTAACCTATTATTAAAAGTTCTCTTAGCTTTTTACGTCGGGAGAAAGAAGTAGATAGAATGAGTGGTGCAGATCACAAAATACCACCTACGGAACGTGTTTCCTCCTTACTTGCATTATCGATGAAAACAAGTAGCAGCACTACATAGCCGAAATTTTAAGATTGACGCAGAAATTGCCATAACTTTTCCAGATTCCTGGAAATATAATACTGACAAATAACAACCTGCCACTCCGGGACCCGAACGGAAAACGAATTGTGGTCTCTGCGTCTGTTGTCCAATATAATATTTGTGTCTGTGTTGCGGCAACATGGCGGTTTCTATAAAAACAAAACAGAAATCCTAACCGCGTATGAAATATGGACATCAAAAGTGAGATCGTAATTAAGGACGAAAATTTGTAAGTCCTGAACGATGCACGTTAACCACCAGTAACTGAAACGGGGGTTTTTGTTTAAGGCTTAATGTGAAAAGTGAACAAAACGATGAAATTATTTTCATCGATTCGTCGGACGAAGAAACCTCCGCGACTAGCAGCAATACTGACGTCGATGTCGAGGACAAAATCACGAGCACGTACATAATTTACAAGTAAGTTCCTTTTCCGAACTTTAGTCGTAATAACCTCACTCTACCTGTAGAGAACCGCTGCAGCAGCAAGAAAACAAAGTCGACTACTTTTTCTGCGTGGTGTGCCTGTTGGGTTTCACGGATAATCAGAAGCTGGAGAGTCACCTAACTGAGGCCCATTTCTTTATCAAAACGATCTATGTGTGTCCAAATTGTCTGGAATCGCATACGTCCAAGGACGATTTTCAGACCCACTTGATGCAGCACGCGCTCCCTTATTCAAACGATTTCATGGCTTTTGAGTGCAACTACTGTAATCTCAGTAATGGCAGCCGGGTGGGCATGTTGGCACATGTGGAGCAACACTTCCGCAAGGCGAAGCGTCAAATGGACCAGGCAAGCCGATTTTCGAAAACCATCGAATCACTTAAGAGGAACGTGTAAGTAGATGACGTTTCGGACGTTTTTTTTTTCGATACATCGTAAGACTGGCCGTGGAATGTGTAAACTGTCTGTAAAAAGGGTATGTGCCATTTTTAATGCAAGAAAATTACTAGACAACTTAAAAAACAAAGTTTGGAAGATATTCGAGAGTTTTGAAGCACAGGTATCAAACCCAAAATGATGAGTTGAAAGTTAGAAGACGTCTTATTTCAAATTTCAAAAAAGAAGAAAATTTACAAGATTCGGCAATACAATATAGTCAAAAAATAAAGCTAAAGGAAAATAAACTCGATGAATACGCGAATACAATTTCAGTAAAAGGTTATGTTACGTTTTATTACGTTTTTAAAGGCACGTAAATTAGGATTAGGTAATACTATCGTCTTTAACAATATTGTATATATTCTCATGCATCTTATAAGAGCAGAGTTAGAAAGATAATTAGTTGTACAATCTGGGACTCAGAAAGTTAGTCCCCGTAAAGTACATCTGATTTTTTTTAAAGTAACTATTAATATTAGGGACTCGAGGGTTCATCCAGAGCTTTTCAAATATCAAAAACGGCTTGTGACGTCCCGATGCATTAAATGTGAACCGGTTTTACTTGTTAAACTAACCTACAACTCTTTTATCCATGGATTCTACGTTATTTTATGTGTGTGCTAGGTTACGCATTTTGACCTTGTTCGCGTGACATTCAGACTTTGAATGCGTGTAAATTTATTTCTAAATTTACGACGAATACTCCAGAACACATATTCTCTTCTTCTCTTGCTCTTTATAAACAGTTGGGCAAGACTACTATGGCCATCCGCCCATTACCGACATCCACCGAGGATTTTTTTCTTTTGGTCACAGACCAACAGTTAACGAAACTATTACCAACATTTATTCTCAGCTTCCAATATAGGACTTTGACTGATAACAAAAAAAAAACGGCCTCCTCCGCGAACCATCCAGGCCCATCCGGCCTCCATACCGGCGTGAACAGGAAAAAACCGAGGGGCCGACGTCGATTACACCTTAAAAACACTCACTAGACACAAAAAACACTAAATTCACTCGGTGGAAACCGATTCCATAATTTTTGGGGACGATTACAAAGGATTCTGTCTGGAGCGAACGGTCACACTGTCATTAAAAACTCCGGATTCTTCAAATCCCTCGATATGTTTAAAATTATACGTTTGGATATTAGTTCCGGCGGTATCCTATATAATTCAACAATAGCAAATGAACGAGGCACTTAAAATAATTGTTTGGGTCCTTTACCGCCACCTCTCCACTTGCCCGCTAGAAAGACGATGCGCACGCGTCACGGATGGGCGTCGCGGCAGCAACAAAAACGGCCGCCATTTTGCCGGGTGTGCTGCAAACGCGTGTACCGTCTGCGCGAGCACGTCAAAGCGGTGCACTCGGCGACACTCGCGTGTTTCGTTTGCCACGCCCCAGTCACCAAATTGGAAAAGCACTTGCGCAAGGAGCACTTCTACTCGAGACCGATTCACAGTTGCCCGCTGTGTCCGGACACGTTCGAGGTGCGCAAATCGTTCGTCGCGCACCTCCAATCCGCGCACCGGTTCTCCTACAGGGACACGTACACAACGTACATGTGCGTGCATTGCGGCGGCGTGACCTCCGACCACCGGAGCGCGGCGGAACACGCGAACCGGCATTTTCGGGAGGCGGGCGTCGAGCCTACAGACGGTGGCGGGCCCGTCGGGCCCGGAACTTGCAAGCACTGCCTCGAGACGGTCGCGGGCGACGGGCTACGTTGTCGGGGCCCCTGCGGTGGCTCCTATCACCTAAACTGCTCGACCGGCCTGGCCGAGGAACTGTTCGACGTCGACAACGAAAACTGGTTCTGCGTGGAGTGTCGCGGATCCGACGCCAACGAAGCGTTCGGTGTCATTAACGATATCGCGAACACGTCGCGTTCCATGGATGTGGCGACCAATGACTACCGCAGGGAAGCGAAGAGAGTGAAGCGGATGCGAGACGTAAGGCGGGATCACGAGCCGCCGGACGGTAACTAAAGAGTTCGAGACGACTGCGTGTGGTGAAAGTCTGGTGATTTTCCGAGTATAAGTTAATAAACAAAATGTTTATAGAAGCTACCTTAAAAAAAAACTATCGCATACAGTTACTGTTAGCTTTGTTCGGGTTCGTGTCAAAACGTTTTTCAGAATTTGTACGGTCAAAATTTCCCCAGTCTCGAGCAGGGAGTTCTTTTTAACGTTTTTCTAAAGCTTTAGGTTATTACCGTATTATTATTACTGTATTGGGTCCAGTTCTCTTTGTTTTGTACATTAACGATATGTTTCGTGTAAACTCATAATACCCCGACGGGCCATGTTCAAAAACAACGACGAAAATGACTTAAAATTGTTGTACAATAACTTTTCCACCAAAGAGCTAACTTTAAGCTTGTCAAAAACTGTTTTCCTCCCGTTCTCCTCCGAGACTAAACTGAATAAGTTTATCGATATTCACACGACACACAAGCACATGATATTCCAAAAAGCCCGGGAATGTTGTGACATAAAACACCTAAAAATATTGTATAGTGCATTGGTTGAACCGCATCTCACGTACGATCTCTTGGGGTGGGGTGGTTTGACTAATAACTACTGCAGGAAATTTTAAATAACCCAAAGGTAGAGTCTTAAAGTTATATATATTGAACCGCTGATGTTAGACAATTATTTTTTGTCAAAAATTACGAATTATCATTACAAGAACAGTTTATCTCTATTCGAGCCCGATTGTTCGACACGATCTTACTTAGTAACAAAAATTATTGCCGTGATACCTGAAGTGATTCAAAATTATAGACCCTACAATGAATATAAAAAGAAAATAAAAGAAAAATAGTTATTACACCTCATTAAGTTTTTTGATAAGATCCATATAGTTCTGATTTTTGCAAATTTGTTATACACCACATACTTCAAACTTAAAATTTTTATTTATTTATTTTTTTATTTATGTATGTTGTTCAGCTTACAAACAAATATTCATTTGGTGAGCTTTCCCCCGGATCATTTACTATTTATGTATCTACTTATTAATGTTTTTTTGGAATATACTATTTGTAAACAATTATAATTATTACTAATAGAAAATAATATTGTAAGACTGAATACAGGATTTTGGTTCACAAATAATATACATGTATCGTCACAAAAACAGTGCTTTACTGTTTTTTTTTGCAGTAATTCAAAGACCAACTCCCTAAAAAATAAACATAAACAACTCAAGACAATTTGGATTACGATTTATTGTGTGTAATCTGATGACCTATTGCGGTACGTTCCCAAGTTTTCATTCTCCCATCAGACTCCCTCGTACAAGGTTAAAACGGTTAGTTTTGGTTAGTTAAATACGAACCCGAACCCAGCTATCAACGAGACTCTTTAGTTATTGTTCGGTACCTACGGCGAGATATTAGGAAGCAGGAGTAAGTGGGTGTGTTTATTAAATGCTGTTACAGTTGACAGACAGTATTAAGGAGGATCACGCGAAGCTGGAAAACGACATGGAGCGAATCGACAATTTTATACGGAATGCCAAATCGGACAGAATCAATAATAAACTAACGCGGACGGTTTGCAACATCGTCCGCAATCTCCTGCACCAGAGCGATTAGAATGTAGTTGGAAATAAAAATATAAATCACGTCTATGTTTCGTCTTGTTTTCTCTATCGCCGCGCGTAATGCACAAAATTTAACTTTGAGGTTAGCTGAATCCTCTCCGAAAAGTTTTTTGTTTCTGTTCGTAATCCGATGCTAATAAAATAAACTGATCGCTATTTTAGTTGGCAAAAAACACGTGTTTTTAACAGAAAAAATAATTAATCCAACAACCTCAAAAAGGTTAAAATCCAATTTTTCACCATTACAATTACACAATTGCAACAAGTTGTATGCCGTTAATCGGTTTCCACTAATCGTATTACAACTTGTTCTAAGCATAGGCGAGAAGTTGCAACGACTTGTTGCCAACCAAAAATTTAAGTTGGTAGCAATGAGGTTTAGTCATATTTTTAGTTGGTGATGTTTCATATCTTGTGAAGTTATTGTTCAGATCTTGGTCACTACAAGGTTGAAATTGCAGCAATTTGTTGCAATGTAAAATTAAAATTGGGCTTAAAAATTTTACTTGGCAGTTGGGTAGCAATTCAGCATTATGAACTCCAAACAATAATAACCTCGTTTCACTTTCAACACTTGTATACATACCTCGAATTTATTTTCCACACTTAAGCACAAAACGCAAGAAAAATATATGGCATTAAAAACTGGACGTTCGGGTATCTTCTATCGAACCAAAAACGTGTTTTCAGTTTTTTACTATTGCGGCGGCTAGGTTGTAAAATTCAGGCTACATATGTCATCGCTCTGAAGCATTCTTTATTGCAGACAACAGCGAAATATTGAAAATTACAATAGAAAAAGTGACGCTCTACTACGCAAAACTACAAAAAACTAAATGCGGGTGCTCAAATCATCAGAATAAAAAGGAAATGTTTTTTTGTTAATGGCGAATTTTTCTACTTTGCCGGTGCAGTGAAAAAAGTGCTACACCACATAAAGCACACTTCTTGATCACTTGCACACTTCCATGGGTAAAAGACGCATAGTCAGTATAAATACGTTGAAACTTTGTGAGAAGAACCGATGTCCAAAAATTCATAAAAATTCATACTGGAATGATAGATTTCAGTTAATAATGTTTAAATGACGACGCTGGCGGTGCTGATCGTTGGTGGAAAATCCTCTGCTCCCGCTTATCAACATCGCCATCTATGAGAAGCGTTTTGTACCGCGCGCTTCGCCTCCGCCGTCTTAGATGGCGCTCCTTGTGGATTTAATTTTTCGAAGGCTTATTTCTACGGCGAACGCGGCCGTCGCGGCTCCCAAACCGACGCCGAACATACCGAACGCGAACGCCAACGGCCGGAGGGCGATTTTTTTCGGCGCCGGGTTCGCGTCGACGTCCGACAAACTAAAGATGGCGTCGTAGCGTTTCTCCCAGTACTCCTGGATGCCCCCCTCGATCATCCGCAGGATGTTGACGTCGAAGACGTCGGTCAGCGGAGAGCCGTAATTAACGATAAATGACATCAGTATAGGAACGGTCCGTTGCTCGATCTGATAGTAACATTTTTTTTTCAACTTGGTGACGATGTACATGAAATGCTGATTCGCCATTTTGGACGTCGTTACGTAGGCGTGGCGCGCGCAGCCGCGCACGCCCTCATCGAATGCGTCGTGTTCGACGTACTTTAGGTTGCGCATCAGTTTCTCCTTTACGCCGTTTTCGAGTGACGCGTTGAGGGTGACACCGAACTCTGTCCAGGAGTATAGCGGCATGCCGGACTCGGCAAACTCCCGCAGCGTTTTGATTTCGTCGGGTTTGCGGGGCACGCTCAACAAACTGACCAGTTGGCCTTGAAAGTAGCTCGATATTTCGAACGTCGGCACCACGGTAGCGACAAAAACTGCCCGGAAACAAGCAGACTCGAACTGCCTGGCAGATCTGCCGGTCGAGACGAGCACTATTTCGAGCAACACCTCCGAATAAGACAGGCCGGTCGTTTTTAAGTAAATACCGTAGGCAACGAGGGTCGCGAACAGCGATATCGTGACGGCCAGCGGCAGGATCGAGGTCACGTCTTGCGGAACGGGTTCCGCCACGGGCACCATTATCACAAGCTCGTCGCGATCGTGTGGGTACGTGAAATCCACCTGGAATAAGGAAAACTCGTATGGCCTACTGGTGCACTTGGCTCCCGATTTATATCAAAATTAATAATGTAATTTATATTCCCCATTTTTTTTTTTGGTTAGTGTTGATGATTTCGCCTCGGGTGCCAAGTTCACGGGCCGGATAGACGTAATAAATAAGAAGAAATGCTCAGCGAAATCTATATTTTTTCAAATATCTCGCGCCCTGTATAATTGACGAAACTTGAAATTCTCACGATACGGTTTACGATACTGTTCAAATAAAATTATCCCATCTTTAAAGGTTTTGCATTTATCGCCAATAATTCAGCCACAAAACCGGAAATTTTTAGGATATTTTAGATTTTTTGTCCATAAACGGCACACCCTGTATATGATACAATCATTGTTCGAAGTAGAGGTTATAACCCTGGATTTTCCACGCGTCCTGGTTCAAGAATTTTTTGAAAATAGTAAATGGTTTTCGAGAAACTAAGTTTTTTCTGAAACCATGCAGTGCGCCGTAATAATCAATGACGTCATGGCGTCTTGACAGTCCCGGAAATAGCGATTTCAATATGGATTTTTTCAAATATCCCGAGCAGCGTATGTGATAGACGGAAACCGCAAATACAAAAATTGTAGCTACCGAGATATAAAATTTTTATACGAGCGCAGATATTTTCGAAAGTAAAAAGATAGGAAAGGTGCGCAAGTGTCCCTACCAAAGATCTATACTCGTCCATCAGAAACCTGCTGTTGAACGAGGCGTGAGCGGCGCCCGAATGAACCTGTTTCAGGACGCCTCCGATGTAGGTCGCGTTGGCATTGCCGAAAGTGTCACCGTCGTCGGGCGACACGTACTCGAACCTACCGCGCACGCTCCCCACGATTATTTCCGACGTCATTCCGTCCCTTCGCATGTACCTCGTCTTGTTCCCCCATTGGTGCGGTTCCGCAGCGACACCGGGAAACATCGCGATCAAAACGGCGCGGTGGTTCAAATCACGACCGACGTCGTAAAATTTATCAGGCAATAAAACGGTAGGGCCGTTCGTCAAAACGTCACGGAACATAACCGCCCCGTCATCTTTCAGAAAGTACACATTGACGGTCCAGTGGTCCGTGGCGTAAGTTCGATAGAATCGATCCACGGCCTGCTCGGCAAGTCCCTTTCGCACGATTAATATTTTGTCTTTGGGTTTCCAAAAGAACAGGGACGAGATCGAGGCGAAGCTGTCTTCTAGAGATGCGTCGTCGTCGAGAAACGCTACGTACAGCTTCCTGTCGTTGAAAGCTTCGCGACGATTCCCGATATCCATAGGGCGAGGCGATTTGTCGGGGTAGAGAAGGTAGACAACCTGTCGTTCTTTGGAGAGTAGTGTCGGAAACACGGAGTAGCTCGCGGTAAGGAACACGCAAACCACTAGATCGACGGGATTCGAGTTGACGATTTTCGAGACCGCGCGGTACGGTACAGTAGACGGATCTTCCTGTTCGAATGGCGCCAAGCTACAGCACGCCCCACAAATAAACGATGTCACTAACACTGCAAGAATACAGGAACCTGTAAAAAATATCTAAAAATAATTAAAGACATTTGCATACACTGCTATATTATATTTTTTCCTATTTATATTTTAAAAATATTATATTATATGCATACACGGTATATGTATTTACAAATGCTCCGGATTCCACCTGAATCCAAGTTTCTGACTTTTTCTTCATACGTTAACTAAAATTGCTTGCTGAAAATTGTCAGGTGGCAGTAAATAGTATGTGCCATTTTTTTACGGCTCGATTGTAAAAAAAAAGATTTTGTGTTCAAATTTTTAATATTGGTTGTTGGTCACCCTATCTCCCTCTCACTTTTATAAGGAAATCAACCCCAAATATATAACAAAGGCTCTCAGTCGGCGAAATAAATATATTTGACAATTGTCATTTTTGACATAACATTTAAAATATATCAGAAACGGTAAGACATGTTATTAGTTATAACGTATTTATAGAAAGTTTCGGATAATTCATACTATTGCTAATATATTTAAAATACGAAAGTTGTTGCTTGTTCACGAAACTACATATTTATATTTATAACAAATATAAATATTTGAAAGTATGTAAGTGGACTCAAACCATTTTTGTGAGTATCTGGTGCGTTATTTTGATATTTTTTTAAAATTCATAAATGGACCCGGTACATCCTCACGGAAATGCAGGGCCGGAATCCAAATATGTCGTACTTACCGCAAAACGATACAGCGGAGAACATGCTGCTCGCGGTAGGGCCTAATGGCAAGTGAAACAATTCAAACGTGAGGTTAATACATCGGCTACGATTTTTTTCCTTCCGGTTAACTTTTACATTAAATTTGATCGATAAGTGCATTAGGGCCGAAGTTTTCAAATCACGCGGGTTTCTGTAACGACATTACGCATCGCTCCGACCAACTTTTAAACCGCAATCTCGTGGGTAATTATTTTTAACTCGGCCCGTGGACAAAACGGTGCGCCCGACTTGATATCGCTTGCTGATTAAATAAAATGCTTTTTAAATAGTTCGGCGCGACTTTTGATGACATTTGCATTTCTGTTCCCCGTCAAGAACCTCGCGGCGACTGCTGAAGACGAGGGAACGGTTTAATTTGAATGTGTGGGGGACAATGTTTCAGTGTTGAATAACTTCGAACTTTGTTATTGTCATTGTGTCTTCATTAATCAAAAAGAAAGAAATCTTATAATTTAATCCAACTAACAACTTACTGACGAATAGAAAACCACCCGCCAACAAACATTTAAAATATCTATATTTTGGCAATAAAATGACACACGCATGCCCATCGTATATTTAGGCAACTGTTTTTTTTTTCTTTTATTAGTACTAATTAGCACCTTAAAAGACAAGGCAAACCTCTTAGACAAATAAGGCTGCTGATTGGTTTTTAAC